CAGTTTCGCCGACCCAGCTAGTTTAACAACGCAAAATTTAGAATATTGAACGCTTAAAGATACAAATGTATACATTATATTTTAGCACGGGAGCTCCGGATTCTAAATGGGAGTTTACTTTTGCTGTAGTACTGTGATGTAAAGGGTAATATTACCGATAATTTTGGTAATATTACGTAAAATTACCGCAAGATCTGTAACATTGGTGGTATTTTTTGGTTAAAATCAAGATGGGGCTGCTTTGTTTCTGGTCTAATTATTGGCTTCCCTAATTATTTTAGAGAATAATTCTATTTAGGTTTATTGAAGAGCACTAAAACCCACATTCAAAAAAATAACTCCGTTTACGAGTTATCCTGTATAGGCCCTGTAAATAATATCCAGTTAGGCCCTGTATTTACTTATGATCACCAGTCAAGGTAAAAGATAACTGTCAAATGAAGTTGTCATTTCAGAAATTTATCTATTTAGTGCTTTATTATTATTATTAAAAACTCATACCTACATCGAAAATATTAGCCATGAATTACACTACCGAAGAAAAAATATTGATGATTAAATGGTATTATCCATTATAAAAAGTTTATATGATAGAGCAAAATAATATGTTCAGACGACATTTCGCTAAACAGAGATATAAACCACATAAAAATACATTAATAAAAAGGACTATCCACCATATTTTATTACAGTATTTTTTAATACGACCCTGTCGTATTTTCGGAGAAATTTTTTAATACGTTTTAATCCGGCCCTGACTAGGAAACCATAATGGCGCCGACAAGGTCAAATTTTATAGAAATTTTAAACAATGGAATCTGAGTAGAGTTGGCGTGCCGATGTGCCGTGGTTCTAGCCTTGTTGTAGCAGAAATTCTATCCTAACCTCAACTAATGGCGAAAAACGACGAACGACTCCGGGTCTCACAATGAAAAATTTGTGACAAAATTATAGGTGAAAATTTGTTGAAAAGCGCTTGTTCTTTATCCCTAAACCCATTTTCGTGTTTGATCTATTCAAACAGAAATCCTATTTTTGTGTTTAAATTTTGAGTTTCTGGAATGTGTGGTTTTAAAAATTATACCTGTATCCTGTGTGCTAACTTTGATGTAGTGGTCGAGAACTATCGATAGCCTATCGATATTTATCGATAGTTTATACTATCGAAAACTATTTACCAGTTTCAATAAAGAAAAGACATTCAGGTTTAATTTTTTTTATCACAACATCACAACCAATCGGTTCTTTAACATAGTAGTGATGGAGAACTATCGATGGCGCTATCGATAACTATCGATATTTTTCACTATCGAAAACAATCGATAGTATTTGGAGGCTATCGATATTTTGCGATAGTTCGTTTGGAACACATCTCTACTTAGATTGAGGTTATAAATATGTGTTTTTGTCAAATACGTTTAAAATAAAGTATACGGAGGGTACCGCTTAAATTCCTGTACCGACATTGAAGGATGGCTATAGAATTTCAATGCATTTCCTACATAAGTCTATCCTTGTGTTGTAGGAGGTTTGACTAAACAAGGATGAACCTATGTCTTGAAACCAATCTTGAAACCATTCGACTCGATTTTCTGTCCTCCTTCAATACTGGGGCGTAAATCCTCTCATTGCTCTTATGGGGAGGCCGTCGTATATTTTATTTAAACGTATTTGGTTTTTGTTGTTGGCCAACGTTATTTTTGTTATTTGATGAAAGGTTATTGAATATTGAGTTGGAAAACGTTATTGTAAAATACTGTGTTGTTTGTTCATAAAGAAAGTTTAAAATGGATAAATTTTTAAATATAAAAAGGAAAAAAGAAGACAGTCCGAACAGTCGTCATAGCAGTAAGTAAATTTTATGAACAAAACATAATGCATTTCTAAAAGCATTAAATCCCCCCACTTTGCATGTGATGGATCCTCGATTTAAAAAGGAAGGTTTCAGAAGCAATGAGAATGCAGAATGTGCAGCATAAATGGAGCAGGAAATGGTCCACATTTTGAAAAAAGAGGAGGAAGCAGATCCCACAGAATCCAGATTTAGAGATGACAGGCCTGGCTACGAGCAGTACCTACAAGCACTACTACAACCAGCAGCAATGGAAATCCATTATTTTCTTTTATTGAAGAAAGAATTTGCCGGAAAATTAAATCAACAACTGCAGATGCATTCATCATCAAACGTCAGTATTTGAGAAACAAATTGCAACCAAAATGATGATCCTCTTCTGTTCTGGAAGGTAACTATTGATAAAAATATTTTTTTGTCATAATATTAAAAAGTTTTGTTCTTACTTTTTACAGGTAAATGGAAGGGATTTACACCCACTGGAGACTGGAAGAATGTAGCAAAAAATACCTGTATATTCCAGCATCATCTGTGGAATCTGAGAGGACTTTCAGCACCACAGGCAATTTAATAACAGAGAGAAGATCAAGATTAAAGGCAAACAATGTTGAGATATTAACATTTCTGAACAAGAATGAATGCATAGTCGGAAATGTAAATAATTAGTTAAATAAAAATATTGGTTTTGATTATTTTATAAATCTATTATTTTATTAAAAAAAACAAATAATTTTAATAGAGATGATAATTTTCGATACTTTTAAATACTTTTTTTTAATTAAAAACGGTAGGAAATTCGTACTGTCTTTAATTTAAAAAAACTGTACGAAATTCGTATTGTTTGTTAAAAACGGTATGAAGTTACCGTTTTCAATAAAACAGTACCGAATTCGTACTGCTTTTCATAGATAACTAACAAATTTATGTTAGTCAAAACTATCGAAAACAATCGATAGTTATCGATAGTCGAATGTGTGAATATCGATAACTATCGATGGCCGTGACTATCGATAGTTCTCCACCACTATAACATAGGCTGAAAATAAATAAGAATCTTCTTTTAAACGAGTTTTCGGAGCAGTTAGTCAATCCGAAATATGTCATTATTGTCAAAATTATCAAATGTCGTGTCAACACTGTCAACGTTAACTGTCAACAGTGTCAACTTTAACGTCAAACGTCAACTTCAAGCTTACGGCCAAAGGATTTTTGGATCTAATCTGGCATTTTTGCTTTGCATTTTGCAATTTAATTTATATGTGATATACAATAATAAACATAAATCAAAATATTAAAAAAAAACGTTTGTGATGTGTGATGTGTCCATTACATTTGCAGGCGGTGATTTAATATAAAAATGTTATTTAAAAGAGTCTGGGTTAGTTTTTTACGTCAATGATCTCCCACAAAACATAATTTATTTAAAAAATAACCTAAAAACTGGTAAACTCCCTAATTATTATGACTATCGAACACTATCGATAATAATCGATGGTCAAAGGACCGACTATCGATAATTATCGATGGTGGGGACTATCGATAGTTCTCGACCACTACTTTGATGTAAACTGTTGCTGCTAGACATAAACTGCTAGACTCCATAAAGGGTAGTATAATCTGGTATAATACCATACGATCGAAAAAAACGGCGTCAGAGGTGGCTTGGAAACGAAGATTGCTGTTATTTTGTATGTAAAATTATATGGGGAATGTGATCGATTGTAATTTTCAAGCCAATTGAACGCCGTTTTTTTTCGATGGTACAGTATAAATTGAAAGCTCTTAACTCATACAAATAAACTTCTAAATTTTGACGCAAAATTTATTGACATAATATGTAGGTATATTTTAGAGCTGTTAATAAAAATATCCAATGAATAACGTCAAAATGTGGCTAAATAAAACTAAATCGCGAACATTTTTACTATAAACTAAGAATGAAGTAAGTATTGTCAAATAACAGTCCTCATATAATGTCCTAAAAATATTCTATAATGCTCCCAACATCATCATTGTATTATCCCAGAAATATCCCAAATAATCGTAAAAGGTTTGCCTATGGGTGTCTTGAAGATTACTTTTTTTGTCCCATCTGGATATCCCATAAATACCCTCCTCTGGTTTTTGGATATCCCTAAGATATTTACTATATCCTTGGTGGATATCTTCAAGATATCTATAGGATTGTGTTGTGTTATATGGGTTATGAAAAGGAATACAAAATTTTTCAAAAATGGAAGCAATTAAAAAACGTGCGAGAAGAAATAAGGTTTTTAACCTATTCTCGCTGTTAAATATCATAGATATAAGCCAATTTTAACAGTTGCTATGAAAAAAAATACTATTATCTACTACTACTATTTTTTTTATAATTTTGTCATATTTTTAATTAGATTAGAATAGATTTTTGATGGGGCTATCTGCCTGTATCACTGTAACCCTTTTGAGATCTATTGTGGTTCTCTTCTGATCCTTAGGTTACATTCTCTAGTACTATTTTTGCCAAAAAGTCTAGTCTAGATATATTCCAGTAACAACTCATATTATGTCCCTCAAAATATCATTCGAATCGCTAAAAGCACTATTAACAAGAAGAATATTATAATAAATCGAAAAAACATGAATACTTTAGCCCCTCTATGAAACAAAGCAGAGTCGGTTCTAGTATGTTGATATAAAATATTAATCTTATATTTTACAACACCCTGTATACGGTACGGGGATCCGTTTTGTGGCTAGGGGGCATCCGTAAGGAGGAAAACAAAATTCTCTGTTAAAAATCAATTCATGGACGTTCTATAAATATTTTAAATACAACTACTTTACCGATAATGACTGCACTGTTCTCCAAGCTCGGTCTACTACCGTTTTAATCGATCTTTCTCGTAAAAAATTAGACGATGCGTTCCGCCAATAAAAATTCGACAAATTTGCAGGTAAACATAGTAGTGACATACTCGTAAAGTCCACGTGGACTCTGTGGCCGCGTATATATACATAGGTAGCGATCAATAAAATATATTCCTATTTATTTAAATGTGTTTTGTAGTAAATTGATCATACTCCAATATTCTGGCTGCATTCTTAAAAATTCCTTTCATAGACACAGATCCAGTAGACGTACTTTACATGTCATTTGTTTACTCACCTTAGATGTCAACATAAGACAAGCTATCACTCCCAAGCTCCACCAATCCACCGAATGACCATAGCGTTCCATTTTCAAAATTTCAGGTGCTGAAACAAAAAATATATTCATTCAACTTACCTGCTGTTTTAGTCACTGGAATTTTAAAGAATCAAACAAAAAAATTCACAAATTCTTATAATATTCTTTTTAATTTTTTTTTTCATCACTATGTGTTAACATTTCTATAATAATTATTGATATCAGCAATATATTTATTAATTTTTAACCTCACTGCCTATAAATACCTTAATCGAAAAAAAAACGGCGTCAAACACGACTGGAAAATGACCAATCGATGATAAATAAAAAGACAAACACAAAGACAAACAAAATAAACAGAACTGTATAGTAAATAAAATCTTTATTCCTCGATTTTTTTTTGTTTTAATCCTCTCTTTACATTACAGATTTCATTAAAAAATCACATAATAATAATAATGATCATGAACTCTTCACATCTATATACACTAACTATGTACAAAAATGGCATTTACAATATGAACATTTCTTTTTTAAACTTACATACATAATTTATATTATATTTTAGTTTGTAGAATTATTAATTTATTCAACTACTTACATCACTATAAAGTATATTTTCTCATTTTCTTTTCTCAATAGCTTTGAACTTTGTGGTGTGTATTTACTACAGTTTATAAACAATTTTCAATACGCTGTATACAGTCTGCGCCATACTGTAAAACTTATACATATTCATTCAACGTTGAAACATTCATTTCTGACGCATCCTGTATATTGAAAATCATTTCGTAACACTACGGCAAAAAAGCAGGGAAAAATATTGAAAGTGTGTGTATTTTTTTTTATTTAATATTGTGCGTTTGTTATTATTTCATAAATCTTCTTTTATGAATCCTTTTAATAGACGTATTTTTTAAACATTAGTAATGTTAAAAATATTAAAAAAATCATTTTAGTCATCCGCATGCATATGGTCCCATCAATCTACCAAAAATACCGTGTAACTAAATTACCAAAAAAAAACAGTGTCGTAGTAGGCTTATAAATAATATATTATACTTCAAACTTTCCTATGTTTATAGCTAAACTTTTTGTTAAAATATAAATAGTTTATTAATATCTATTTTCTTGTCTTATAACCAAACTATTTATACAGGGTGTCCCAGAAATAAGCGCAAATATTTGGTAATAAACTGGTAGTATAGTTCAACCCCAGAAACACGCCTATGAGATTTTTTTCGCGAAAAAAAAATTTGAAAAATCGAAATTTTTTGAAAAATTTTTAGTTAAAAAACATAATTTCTTGATAATATGGCAACATAGGTATTAGATTAAATTTACAAGAAAGAAAATCCAGAAAAAATTCAGTGGTTCTCAAAATTTTAGCAAAAAATATTTTTTGGGAATTTTCAAAGTAAAATGACTCCGTTATTTTGGACTTATTTGAAAAACGATAAAGAGAAAATATGTTTCTTTTATCGAGATCTACCAGCGCTTAAAATACTTGCACTTATTTCTGGGACACCCTGTATATGTTTTATAACATAGTGTTTAAGATTTAAAAAAAAATTGAAAATAACCGAATTATTTTAAAAAATAAAATGTGTACATTTTGAGAACGGCTGTGTTGCCACATTGTCAAAAAAGTATGTACTTGAAAGAAAATACTTCGTAATATGGTTAGAAGAGAATCTTTAATAATCCTTAAGATTTATTCTTCCAATTTAGTTGAAAATAACTGTCAAAAAGTGATACTGAGTGTTACAAAATAAGTACAGAGTGTTTTTCTAGAATTATTAGTAAAAAATGTCACTGAGATAATTAAAATTAATTGTCGTAAAATTATGGTGTCGAAAATTAAAATTACTGTTAACTTATAAACAGACAAAAATACACAATGTAGGAAACGTAGGAGGTGGCAACATGGCAAGGCTTTTTCAGGAGAATTAACCTGTGGCACTAAAAAGTTTAATTAAAATATCTCTCATTTTTTTTGCAAAAAACTCGTGGATGCATTTTTTTTTTCGAAATATACAACCAGTTAAAATACTTGCCCTTATTTACGCGACACCATGTATATTATACGATAAAAAAAACAACGTCGCAGTGACCTTTAAACGATAATAATTGATTGATTGATTATTTTATTAAAAATTAACGTAAAATCAATAGATTAATTATTAAAAATGTAAAAAAGAGAATCTCCAAACACGCCAATCTATTCAGAAATTTTTCAAAGGTCACCACGACGCTGTTTTTTTTTAACTTTTAACGACTAAAATATTATTTCTAGGCCTACTCTAACATGTTTTTCGTTTAATCACACGGTATATAGTTTAAATTAAAACACTTTCAACAATTTTTATGTCTTTTTTTCTCTAGAACATGTGTGTGTGTGAATATATATATATATATATATATATATATATATATATATATATATATATATATATATATATATATATATATATATATATGGCTCTATTATATTTCGTTTTGTTTTAGTATAGCGATATTATTCTCAATTTTATTTGCGATAAATATAATTATATTATCATATATTGCACTAAACAATTACTATTTCAATATAGTTTACTTACGGGTAAGAGTTAAAAATTCGTGAACGTTTACTTAAATGTTAGGTTACGTCTATGTCCTATTTTAAAATTATTCTCGAATCGTGGAGGAAATAAGAAATAACACAAAAAAATCATCAACTTACCATAATAGTTTTTTTATATAAAATTTAATAATTGTTATATCCTAAAAGGTGATGAGTTAGTTTAAATTAAAAATATGGTGAGGCTAGATCTAAAAAAAACTAATATCTAAAAAACTAGGATTGTATCATTAAAAACTCTTGTTTTTATATATTAAAACTAAAGCCAAGATCTCAGTTTCGCCGACCCAGCTAGTTTAACAACGCAAAATTTAGAATATTGAACGCTTAAAGATACAAATGTATACATTATTTTTAGCACGGGAGCTCCGGATTCTAAATGGGAGTTTACTTTTGCTGTAGTACTGTGATGTAAAGGGTAATATTACCGATAATTTTGGTAATATTACGTAAAATTACCGCAAGATCTGTAACATTGGTGGTATTTTTTGGTTAAAATCAAGATGGGGCTGCTTTGTTTCTGGTCTAATTATTGGCTTCCCTAATTATTTTAGAGAATAATTCTATTTAGGTTTATTGAAGAGCACTAAAACCCACATTCAAAAAAAATAACTCCGTTTACGAGTTATCCTGTATAGGCCCTGTAAATAATATCCAGTTAGGCCCTGTATCTACTTATGAGCACCAGTCAAGGTAAAAGATAACTGTCAAATGAAGTTGTCATTTCAGAAATTTATCTATTTAGTGCTTTATTATTATTATTAAAAACTCATACCTACATCGAAAATATTAGCCATGAATTACACTACCGAAGAAAAAGTATTGATGATTAAATGGTATTATCAAGGAAATAGTTATCAAAAGGTGTCGGACATGTTTGCTGCTCTGTATCCGAATAGACCGATACCTGGAAAATCTACAATCGCAAGGAATATCCAGAGATTTGAGACCAAAGGTACCCTAATAAATAACTGCAGATGTGAAGCAAGGCAGGAACAAAGAGAAGATGCAAGAAATGATACCGACTTGGAAGTTTTATTGTGCGTGGAAGAGAACGATGGAAAGATCAGCACAAGGAAACTTGAGGATGAAATAGGAATAGATCACACTACAGCGTTTCGAATTTTGAAACGACATAAATACTATTCCTTCAAATATGAAAAGCACCAAGAGCTACGAGATGGGGACGAAATACGGCGGCAGGCGTTTTGTTTTGATATGATGGAAAGAGCAAACACGGATAGGGAATTTTTAAAAAACATATGTTTCACTGACGAATGCACGTTTACCTTAAATAATGAACCCAATGTTCAAAATTATCGATATTGGAACAAAGAAAACCAACACAGGTTTGTCGAAACAAGGACGCAATATCCACAGAAAGTAAATGTTTGGGCAGGGATATTCGGACACAATATTATCGGGCCATTATTTCTTACACGAAATTTAAATGCAGAATATTATTTGGAACTACTCGAAAATCATATTTTACCTGCTTTACATGATGCAGCTAGGGAAAATCAGGAAGTTTGGTACCAAATGGATGGCTGCCCGGTACATAGTACCCTCTGGCTGTTCGAGAATATTTAGACAATAGTTTTAACGGAAACGTTATTGGCCTAAATCATACAGTAAATTGGCTCCTGATATTTCGCCAAATGATTTCTTTCTCTGGGGCCATTTAAAAAACAGGATATACAAGGATAAAAAATACCCAAATCTAGACGAGTTAAAAAATGCTATTTCTGCCGAATGCAATAGAATTTCAGTTTACCAACTAGCAAATGTAAGAAGAGAATTTTATGATCGCCTGGGTTATTGTTTAGCAGTCGATGGAGGAATATTTGAACATCTTAAATCCTGAAGTTCTAACAATAATTAATAGTACCTAAATTAATAAGTTATTGAATATTGTAATAATACTATAATTAACCTTGTAATTGATTACTTTATTTTACTTTAATTCATATTAATTTGTATTTATAAATACATCTTTAAGATTTCCGATGCAGGAATGAGTTTTCAATGGTTTTCAATAATAATAAAGCACTAAATAGGTAAATTTCTGAAATGACAACTTCATTTAACAGGTATCTTTTACCTTGACTGGTGCTCATAAGTAAATACAGGGCCATAAGAAAGGAGAAATATTTAAAAAAAAATCGGCGATAACTCGTAAACGAGCTAATCAAAAATATCTTTCAGTTATTCTTTTGAATGTGGGTTTTAGTGCTCTTCAATAAACCTAAATAGAATTATTCTCTAAAATAATTAGGGAAGCCAATAATTGACCCCATTAAAATTTACATGGGATTTCCTATGTCCCGTCCGACGATGCAACACCCGGTATATTACGTAGCAAATTCATTGCCAGATCAGAAAACAAGAAAATGTCTACAAGACACGAGACCTGCTCATCTTTTTGCCTACCTCTATAGTCAAATCTACGAATTTTGAAATAAAAAAAACACCGAAAAAGCTGTTTTTTTATAAATTACCAATGTTACCGTAATATTACCGATTTATAAATTACCGGTAATTTGACATCACTCTGTATGCCCTTTTACTGGTGGTGGAAGCTTCTTCAGCTTTTCAAAACTACTAGATGTTTCAGATATTAATAGTTCATACACCCCAAAAAATCCTCTTTGCTCCCCTACTATCATACTCATTTTAGTATCGTTATAATACTACTACACAGCTGTCAAATCGAGAAATATATACAAAAAAAAACAATACTTATTGTTAAAACCTATTTCGAAAAATTTCGTAGGAAAATATAATATTGACAGCGACTTATCTTGTTAGAAAATAATAAATTATAAACTTTATCGATATTATACGAGAGCTATATTATATATTTAATTATAGGAAACATCAGTGTAAAAAAATAATTTAAAATAATCGAACTAAACACTTCATACATGCAGTCGTATACAAGGTGTCTCTTAATTATGAATTATTAATAAAAATTCGGTTCTCAGCTCATTCAACCTGTTTTTTTTTGCCAGTTAAAATACTGGCACTTATTTAAGAGACTCCCTGTACATATATAGGGTGATCCGCTTTTCAGTGGCAGGATTTTAACAACAGCTGCTAAAAAGTGGACAGTGTACACACACACACAAACCAAATTTGTTTCAACTGTTCCAAAAATGCGGTCAAAAAATACTGTGACAAAACCATGCGATCGAGAAAAAAAAACAGCGTCATGGTAGCCTTCGAGATGAAAACCGATGATAATTTCTGTTCGAAAAAAAAGTAAAATAAAAAACAGTTCCAGAGTATTTCAGTAAATCTTATTTAAGTATTTTTTGTCCGCAACACTACACAAACTACTATTTCTATAAACTAATACATTCATTGATATATGTCAAAAAAATTATAATCAATTTATACACAAAAAATCTAAAGTAACCTAGAAAAAAATATTTAACACACTTAAGTTTAAGAAATTTTGAAAAAAATATAGTTTGTCCCAAAAATACTTCTCTATAAATGACAAGCAAATGTCATATATCGCTTTATAGAATAACAGATATCTTCTACAGCAACAATATTTTTTTTGATTTTAACCACAGATATAGTTTATTCGGCGAGAGAATACATGATTTCGACAGACGATATTTGAAAAATTACAGAAAAATAATGTACTTTTGAATTAAAACAGGTAACTGTTAATTTCATATATTCTTTTGCTAGAAAAACTATACATATTGACAGTATGATAACAGTATAGTTTATTTCAATAGTAAAACTAGGTACTAGGTTTTTCTATTTTTTGAACTAGTAGCACAGATTAGACAGATCATAAACTTTGTTTTTTCTTTATTGTTTTTCGTGATTCCAATTTTCGAAATCGGGCACTAGGAATAGCACGCCCACTTATGACCTCTAAAATTGTGCACAGCGCCTGACCGGCACAGTTATTAGAGAGATATCGGAAAACCGAATAGCGTCATGCAGTATTTACGCGTACCTTATCATGGTTACGATATGCGCGAGTCAATTTTTAACGCAACGTTACCGCCTGACGTAATTTGCGGATCAATTACAGCAAGCGCTATTTCTAAATAACGTTTAAAAATTGCTTAAATGGGCATGTGCGGGTATTTGACAACCGGGGCCGGCCGGTGAGATATATTATTTTAGGTTATGTTTGAATTGTTTTGAATTATTACTTTAGTTTTATTAGGTAATTTGATATTTAAGTAGCTGGGATTAGTTTTAATTAAATAAATGTGGCCCAAAATATGGATTCCATCTCTTCCAATATTAAAGAACCTATAAAGAGGTTTAGGTTTACAACAGATGACGACTTAGCCCTTCTAAGAGAATTTATTGCTTGTTGCCCTAAACCCACTGGCAGACGTTGAAGAATAAAGCATTGGAAATAAGCACTTTAACCCTTTTGTTTTAAAATACCTAGTAAACAAAACAATTTCAAAGTTTTCAATTCAAAGTTAGGTTAAGTTTAAATACGGACGCGACACGAACAGAATTCTTTCCGATCCGATAACTGTAAATGAAGAGAGTTAATACCACCTCACGTAAAGGAAATAACACCTGGCCTTATTAACGTCCATGCACGCTATTCGGTTTAGCGATATCTCTCTATTACGCTGTTTATTGTTATTTTACGCGAGTTTATTTTTGCGCACAGGAAATTTTACTCGTTTACACATCGTCATAAAAAACAAATTTCGTACCACGAATTAGGGGTAAGATTTTTATCTGTATACATATAGTATACCTAATCTGTGCTAGTAGTTACAAATTACTAGTACAAAAAATATATTTTGTCAAAACACACAGCTGATTTTAATTTTAATTTTACCTATTCAACTATCACACAAAGCTACTGTCAAACTCTCATACATACACATTCTCATCTCGAAAATACACCTTTATAATAGTAGGTACGTCCGAAAGTACTTCAGCTGTCAATGTCATAGAGTTTAAAGATATAAAAAGATTTGTTTCGACACTACGGACAGATTTTTTAACGTACCACAGACTATGTGCTCTTAAAATTGAAGTAAAACACTGAATTGGACTGATTAGTGTGACTTCACTGCGTATGCAACCAGATATACATCGAGACTGGTTGCATAACCCCTAAAATCAATATTAATCAGGTCTATTATACCTTATTGTCTATCTATAAACTTGCACAGAGAATAAATAAAAGCAAGAATCGTTATAAGATTGCTAAAATAAAATATAAGTATCACATTGAAAAAATCGAAGTAATCTCTACAGTTCAAGAACGTGTTTTTTATCTCATTACAAACTACGCAAAAGTAACTTAAATATTATAGCGAAATAAATTCTAACCTTGACTAAATAGAGTATAGATGTCAAAAAAAGTACATAAGTGCCTAAGATGTATCTTTTAACAAACAGTCTGAAAGAAAATGTGAACAAATATAGTTGAAGGTAATTTTATGTCATGAACTAGTAAAGAACCTAAATGTTATATTGGTAAATAGTAAGAGCCATACAGGGTGTTTTAAAACTAAGCCTAATTATGTAATAGAGTTTATACAAGGTGTCAATAATTAAACATACCCTGTAGTAGATTATTTTTGGAACAAAATCAAAAAAGAAAATATTCCTTTAAGTCAGGAAAGATTTTGACAAAGACATCCAAAAGTTGACAGAATATATAATTTATCTGTCAATTAAAATGACAGAAAACAGCCCTAACTGTCAAGTATATTCTCGGCGGACAGACTATAGTATTCCTGGCCTTTATAATTGACATTTTTACATTGAATTGTATGAGAAAAAATAATATAGGCAATTTTTGACACACTGAAGTCAAAATTTAACTACTCTAAGAAAAACTTAAATTTCCATAAGTTCTAATTAAGAAAGATTATTATTTAACACAAATTTAGTTTTAAAAAATAAAATTTTTGATGGCCTATTTTTTATTTTTAATTAATTTAATTTGTTTTGATTTATTTTTTTATCACATCTTTTATACAAAAGTAAAAAAACCGTCATTAAATAACACTTTTATACATTTTTTTCTAAATCATTGACTTTTCTGTTGGTTGTTGATTCTATTAAATTAAATGACAGATGTTCGATTATAACATTGGATAAAAAGTCTAAAGAAAGAATAAAAAATATTGTGTCATGGTAACCATTTTGAAAACATTCTTTTTTACATTTTGGCTTGATTTTCAATTTTGTTTTCTATTGTTTCCTAGCTTTATTTGTCAAAATAACTTAAAATAAAAAACACATTTTCATGGTGTGTGATTAAATACTGACTCCGACGTTTCGGCCTCTGGCGACCATCATCGACTTAATTTTTTTAAATACGGACCTGATTTTTTTTTCAATTTAATTAAATCCTTTCATCACTCTTAAAACACTATACAGGGTGTCCCAGAAATCAGTGCAAATATTTTAACTGGTAGTATAGCAAACCCAGAAACACGCCTATGAGGTTCTTTTCGCGAAAAAAAAATTTTGAAAATTCGAAATTTTTTGAAAAATTTTTTGGAAATTTTTTAGTTTCTAGTTAAAAAACATAATTTCTTGATAATATGGCAACATAGGTAATTAACTTAAATTTACAAGAAAGAAAATCCAGAAAAGATCCAGTGGTTCTCAAAATTTTAGCAAAAAATATTTTTTTTTGGAAATTTTCAAAGTAAAATAACTCCGTTATTTTAGACTTATTTGAAAAACGATAAAGAGAAAATATGTTTCTTTTATCGAGATCTACCGCCCCTTAAAATATTTGCACTTATTTCTGGGACACCCTGTATATAGTCATTTTGATATTTGCCGACGTTTCGTACAGAAAATTCCATCACCAGAATATTTGAAAAAAAAAAAAATAAAAATAAAAATGCAATACGGCATTTTATTGAGTATCAAATGAGTATCGATGAGCGTCGAATTCGAGCCACCCTGTACATATTTTGTAGTCTTTCTTGTTTACTTTATAATTATTGATTTTATGCAAAGTGTACAAATCTGGAAATACATCGTGTAGGGACTTCAAATTACAATTGGAGTATTTTAAATTTAAAAAAAAGGCATTAAAGTCTGACCAAGGAGTCGGGGAAGATTTTGACCGACGACAGATTAAAAAAAAATGACCGAAAATTCAATTTACCTGCGAATTAAAATAACAGACACAACTGTCACTGTCAGGTATCTTCTCATCGGACAGACTTTAAATCTTAACTCAAAACCTGACTTCAGTAAACCCTAAACCATACAAAATCCCTAATTTCATTACAAAATATGTGTTAGGTTAGTTTTAAAACACCCTGTACTTCACCGTAAAATCAAAAAAACCGTAATTTTACAGATTGAAGCTCTCTTTGATGAACTTTCTCATGGTAGAACCCACAGATGTTCCGCTTGAAGGTCCTGTTATTGAATAATTAAATTTAAACAAATACGGTTGCACGTCTACGAATGAAGTGTCAAAAACTAAATCAACCTCACTCCTAGAAGGCATCTTGGGTAAATAATCCTGCCGATTCATAACCTCGGTTATATAAACTATTTTCTCTGTGAGGTGATTCCCGACTTTCTCCCGGCATTCCTGCCTTTCCAGCTCATTATCCAGGGTTATCAGTTGTAACCTTACAGTCCACACCTCCCAAGGTATACATTCGGGCTGTAAAAACAAGTACCGGCTAGGTTTTTTCTGGAAAAACTCCAAGCTTATCTGACCCATCCCGCTGGACTCGTTACTCCGTAACTGTTCCGAGAAATTGCTCACTTCCTGTTTGACAGTTCGCGCCAGAGAGTTCGACGAGCAACAGACGTATGTCAAGTCGATAAAATCGCAATCTACGTCAGTAAAACCCACCGTGCTGACAGAATAACTGCTCTCGTTGGTGTACAGGAATTTACCAAGACATCTGTGGAAGAGTACTGTGTGAAACAAGCTGGTGACAGCCTCATCCGCCTGTCTACCTTCGAGGGTCAGTTCGAAAACCTGAGATCTGGCGTTCATTATTATTATTATTATCGTTATCGAGAAAAAAAAGTTAGGTTATGTTTTTTTATCACACTTAAATCACAGATGAACCCGAGATAAAAAAAAGACGCCGTTATTTCTTATTTCCCCACTTTTTTTTGGTTTGAAATCTCACTAAAAATAAAAAAAATTGATTTGAATTTCCCGCAATTTTTTTTTCTATAGAATTCTTTCCTATCTACTATACGAAGGAGGGAAGGTTAGAATAGGTGGGCATACCCATGTATTTGGGCGTTCCGCATACAGTTTCTGTGGTGGCAGCGTAAGGAAGCCACTTGGACAGACCGAAGTCTATGAGCTTGACGTTGGCATCGGCGTCCAGGAGAACGTTTTCCGGTTTGAGGTCCCTGTATACGATGCCGGCGTTGTGGAGGAAGTCTAAAAGAAATTGTTGTTATAGTTTGTTCGGGGTGAGTCAACTTTAAAGTTCATTAATACGTCGTAGTGATGACGCTTTGGAACAGGATCTGTTATTTTCGAAACAGGTTTGTTTTGGAACTGGCTTGGAACAAGTTTATGTACTATCCTATACCAGTTCCAGTTCCAACTGTTCCAGCTGTTTCAAAACACTGCTTAAATTAAATACTTAAAGAAATAAATTCTTGGAATTGTTTAAATTATGTTATCTACTATATTTGTGATACTAGATTCTTAATAGTGTATTTTTCAAAATTAGATAATTATATATTATATTGCATTTGGCAACATCGCCAGTACGTTTTTTTGGTGGTAAGAAATTATCTTCGCCTATTCTGTTTACATTAAAAAAAACTCTACGTAAAAAATGTATACATACCGACAAAGGGACCGCTTATTTTTATTATCTAGGAATGTAAGTTGTTTTTATTTTATACAGGCCCGGCAATGCATCTCTAGGCATAGGAATTACATGCATTGGAATGAAACGCCTATAAAAAGTCTATGCTTAAACAGAGATGGACAACAACTTCCCCGTTTCCACTTCCACTACGACTGTCTACTTAGACAAACTCCAATAAGATAACAAATTTTGGAAATTCCGCCACCTCCCATCCACTCATGATACCCATCTCCCTGCCCTTTATTTATCGCCATTGTTTTATTTCCCTTCCCGCGCCTCCGCACCTCGCTATTCCGACTCCCGTCAGTTCATCACAGAGTTGCCAGGTCTACCGGTTTCGTCTGTAAGCTACCGATCTACCGATTTAAAGAAAAAAATCCAACGATATATTCAACTGCGTCTTTAGTTTTTACAATAGAAGCACTTTTAAAAGCTGACTTATTTGACTAAAAATTAAGCGACTGCCGCGTTGGAATCTGTATAATCTGACTTTATTATTGTTTCATTAAATTTTATTTAGTAATAACACACATACAGGTCATCGTTCTGCCTAGTTGCAGAGTTACAGAGATATTCCTAAAAATCCTTATTACTCCTTATTAGGCGCGGTATTGGCGACATGCCCGAAGAAGTTGATATCTTTTGAAAAGATTTTATTTCATTCATCTACTAAAGTTGAACCCATATTTTCCCCAAAAAATGTAAACAAAAACAAAATTTAAGTTAAGAAACAACCTAAATTCGGACAAATATTTTAGTGATTTTCCCGTCAAAAAAATATATTAATATGAAAAAAGAGTTGAGAGTTGCTACAGCTTTCCCATTGAAATGAAATTAATTTTAGATATCACTGATCAAAATTTGTACAAAGGTAAAAAGTGACTGCTACACTAATTTGTGACTGCTATCCCTACTTGTTATAGTTTTATATGTTTTTATTAATATATTAATATTATTTAATTCAATATTTTTTTTAATATCAAATAATATACCTAGCTATTTCTAATTCTTGTTATATTTATTATATTTGTATTTTATTTGAGTGATCTATTATTACGACACATAGGAATGCTAATTTTGGACTTAAATATTATATTTTATTTCGTTTCTGTACTTTTAATTTTTGTTGAAGATCTACCGAGAATTTTGTTCTCGTATGGAATTATAATCTAACCAACCCGGCAACCCTGTTCGGCTACTCCTTATAAAGTTTTTTTCGGCCTAATTCCTTTGTCACAGCCGCGGCTTTGTCAAGCGCCGCCGCCGACCGACTGTGTCGGGGCGACTGCTAGGAAGATCGTACAGTATTGCCATTTCATAGAATTGCACTTGCTATTTTAGAAATGATTTCAAAGTTTTGCATGTTACTTTTCGTTTTAGAAAGAAGTTATGTGCCTAGAGAAAACATTCTTAAAATTGTTTCGTACTTTATTTAATATTTCATTAAGTAGGCAAGATAATGGGATTAGAAGATTTAGGATTTTGACAAGCCAACATAATTTCGATTTAATTGAATGGCAACACTGTCCGTCCTGTTTCTATTTTTTCGATTCTGTTCTATTAGTAGGCGGTAGCCCCCACACAAGCGTCTTAAAGACCAGCCCGGCGCCCCCTCTCGCAGGGGCTCTATCGTCGTATCACTTCTATGATCACTTCCCCTATACAATGGTAGGGAAAAGACACTTTATCCGTCTCTGTTGCACTGCAGTGAACTGTTCCAAGTCCCAAACTGTTCCAAGACCCAAACAGTTCCAAGTCCCTAACTGTTCCAAGTGCTAAACTGTTCCAAGCCCTAAACTGTTTCAAGTCCCAACCTGAACAGTGGGACTTGGAACAGTTTGAGACTTGGAACAGTTTACGACCTGGAACAGTTTAGGGCTTGGAACAGTTAGGAACTTGGAACTGTTTGAAACAATTAAGTAAAAAGAACTGGTTTGAGTTGATAATCGAGGTCGTATATCGGTTTCGCTAGTCTAGCCAAGTCTAGCGGACGCGACCGTTCAGGTGTTATCTGTTATTGTCGCGATACAGGGGCGTAAAAAACAAGTGTGGCTGTTGCCGTTATTTAAAATATTCAATTAAAACTCAACTAAATTCTTATTATAAATTTTAAATTTATAATAATTTTTTTTAAATATTTTATTTTTTTAATGTAAACAGAAACAGAATAGGTAAGCAACCTTTTTTTATTATAAAATAATGCTTGCGATGTTGCCAAATGCAATATAGTTATCGCTTTATAGTTTTTTTTTTGAAAAATACAGTGTAAGAACAATCGATTATTGTTTTGTATTATAAATATAGTAGATATTAAAAAAAATAAACTCTTTCAAGAATTTACTTTTTAAGTATATCACAAAATTATAAATCTATATTTATTCATTAGTGCTTATACAGGGTGGGTCTTAAATAAGTGCACATATTTTTAGGGGTTGTATATATTTCGATTCTCATGAGTTTTTTTCAGGAAAACATGTTTTTGAAAAGTTGATATTTTTCGAAAATTTGATAGTCTTTTTTTTAATTTTTAGTTAAAAAACATTATATCTTGGTAATATAGCAACACAGACAGTAGATTAAATTCAGAGAAAACAGAAAAATCCCCCCAGTAGTTCTCATTATTTAAGCAAAAAATATTCTTTTATATAAATTTATAAAGAAAAATAGCAACCGAATCAGAATGACGCAAGTACGGTATTAATTTTCGTTTTGAAACAGTTTGGAACTGGAACAGGTATCTTTTGCAACTGGAACAACTTGTACCTGTTATTAAAAAATCGCTGTTCCGGCCATGACTAATACGTCGTGGTCCGAACTGTATTCCTGAAACTTCGGCAGCATATTCTGGAGATAAAATAAGTAAAAAAAGTTAGTATAAATGTATGTCCTAAAACGCTTAGTTTCGGAGATACAGGGTGTAGAAGTTTTATTTTTATTTCGATTTTTTCCAAATAATTTCTGAAGTAACGTCAATATTTGGATGAAAATTGATGTCTGGGAGTTTTTTGACATGAGAAATGTTATTTTAATGTCAAAATTACTCCTATTTGTAGAGGGCGCCACTTACATATTTTTTAACTGATTTGAAGAAGAAAAACTTTTCGTCTGTACCTGTATAGTTTCTAGTATTTTTTACTCAGTAGTTTTTCTATTCAGTACAGGTACGGACGAAAAGTTATTACTCTTCAAATCAATTAAAAAATATGTAGGTGGCGCCCTCTATATGCAGGATTCATATTGACATCAAAATCTAATTTCTCATGTCAAAAAACTTCCAAGTTACTTCAGAAATTATTTGGAAAATATCAAAATAATAATGAAACTTCTACACCCTGTATAGCCAAAACTAAGCATTTTGGGGCATACATTTATACAAACTTTTTTATTTATTTTTATCTCCAGAATATGCTGCCAAGGTTTCCGAAATACAGTTTGGACCACCCTGTATAGAAAATTATTATACAGGGTGTTTCAAAACAAATGCGAAAAACTTCAGGGGGTGATTCCTTGTTCAAAATAAAGGGTAGTTTGCTTCATAAACGTTGGGTCAAAGGTCAACCATTAGGGAGATATCGCGGTACAAAGATGGCGGAAAAATAATGTTCTTATTTTTTATCTTGAAAACCTTTGAATAAGAAGACTAAGGAAGGAGAATATCAAAAATCTTAGGTACACCGCGATGGGCCTCAAATATTGCCGACTTAAATTCCGGTTTATCAGTGTCATTCTAATTTTATTTAAAAAATGTAAAACTATGATGTAGGGTAGACGCACAGTAGACTCAATAATTTGTTGTTTTATTGTACGTTGTGAATAAATATTGGTAGTTATTAAAATTGTTATAAAAATATATAATTCTAATAAAAATAGATAAGTTATAATAATTATTTATTAACACAAACATCCGATACGCTACTGAAGCAGGTAAGTCAAATTATTAACGTATCTAAATTCTTTGACATCTAATCTTTGACAAGTAATAAATAAAAGCTAAAATGCAAGAAAAATATATAATTTAGTTAATTTAAGTGAATTTCATAAATGATCGGTTTACTACACGTATGTATATTATATAGTCACTTACTAGCGAAAAGTTGTTCCATTATTTCACTCAATTTTTGCCGAGATCTACCGCACGCTACACAACCAACTATTTTAGAGTCTTTTTCGATAAATCGCGATAGTGTCACTGTTAATTTAAGTGCTGCCACAATTTCCATCTAGATTTACTACCTTTATACAACTATCAGTAGTAGAATAAATAATAAATAACATAAAATAAGCTCCGTAAAGACTGACAAATCCACAAAATTTGAAATCAAATTCAAATGTGTCAAATGAATCGCCAAACAGAACTGTCAAGGATCCCCACCCTAGAGAGCTTTTATGGTGGCTTTTCCGTCCACCATGCATGAATACATGGATAGCATTATGCTCCTTCCTTAGTCTTCTTATTCAAAGTTGAAAACGAAAAGAGATAGACTAATGAAATTTTATGGAAGCATTACTGTTAGGAAAACACACTTTCTGGTAATTTTTTCACTTTTTTAAAATGAGTGGAAGGGGTTGAAATAAACTACCCCTATCATTCTTGTTAACGAAATTTAAAGAAAAATCTTATCAAACACATGCAAAAAATTAATTTGGATAGTTTAGTTTGTTTAGAAACTTTTTTTATCTCTTGTATTTTTTTATAAAACTCACCGATTTGAAATTAAAAATAAAATGTAAAGCATTACATGTCAGGACTAAAAATATTTTTAGATTAAGAATCTAGTGATAATAATGATAATAATAATAATCTAGATAATAACGTATTGCAGTAGGGTAATGTCAAATAAAATAATATTAGAAACATCCTAAAAAGTGACAGCGGCCGACTAGATTTTTTCCTAAAAAAATTACAGCTGCCCACTAGATTCTTTATCTAAAAATGTTTTTTGTTCTGACATGTAATGCTTTACATATTATTTTTTAATTTCAAATCGGTGAGTTTTATCAAAAAAACACAAGAGATAAAAAAGTTTCTAAATAAACTAAACTATCAAAATTATTTTTTTTTGCATGTGTTTGATAAGATTTTTCTTTAAATTTCATTAACAGGAATGATAGGGGTAGTTTATTTCAAACCCTTCCACTCATTTTAAAAAAGTGAAAACATTACCAGAAAGTGTGTTTTCATAACAGTAATGCTTCCATAAAATTTCATTAGTCTATCTCTTTTCGTTTTCAAGATAAAAAATAAAAACATTATTTTTCCGCCATCTTTGTACCGCGATATCTCCCTAATGGTCGACTTTTGACCCAACGTTTATAAAGCAAACTACCCTTTATTTTGAACAAGGAATCACCCTCTGAAGTTTTTCGCATTTGATTTGAAACACCCTGTATAACTAACAATTCTGTTAAGCAAGTTAAGAACAAAACTTTTAGAAATAAAATAGAAATACAAATTTCCCTAAAAAAGGTGTAATATTCATTTTTAATAAATTTTTATTTAGCAAAAACAAATTCTTACCTATGGCTAATGCTATCTGAGCAACATACAGCTGCACAATCTCAATGGGCAGAACACCAAGAGTCTGAAGAAGATGCCACAATTCTCCACCTTCTATATATTCAGTCACTAAAAAAAAACAAATATAAAAAAAAATAAAAAAAACTTCCTAAAAATCAATAAAATATAATAATTTTACCTATATAAAGATGTCTTTTACTTTGCCAGTTCAAAAGACATTTGACTATGAACTGATGATGACCGCAGGCTTTCTGTATTTGGACTTCTTCCTTGACTTGTTTTACCGAATTATCATTGACAATCTAAAAAAAAAATCGCTAGTATTGTATATACAGGGTGAATCAATGATAATGTAAAGTTAAAATTGTTTTAGTTATCTTGAAATTCAAAAAAAAGCTAAATAGAAAAGTTATAGGGAACTCAAGACATATAATCTAAATAGACAACAGTTTATAATCATCTGCTGATGATGCTAACATGGTTAGCGAAACGCGCGTCCAGTGTAAAAGTAAAAGTGTTTTGGTGTATTGTGGTGATTTAGTGTTTTTATTTTGCTGTTTAACACCAAAGGTTCCAACCCTCAACTGTAATAAATAGACAAGCTTTTTTTACTGTCAGTTGGCCTTAAAAAGGCTATAAATAGAGATAGAGAGCAGAGATAGATAGAGATAGATACAGACAGTTCACGGCAAGAAACTTTTATATAATTTTATTATATACTTATTTTTAAATAGAGTAAAAATTATTTTTAAATGATATAGTTTAAAATTCGAGAAAAAAAAATATATTTTTTTAAATACAGGGTGGTCAGAATTGTATTCCGAAAACTTCGGCAGCATATTCTGCAAATAAAAATAAGTAAAAAAGTTCGTATAAATGTATGTCTTAAAATGCTTAGTTTCCTAGATACAGGGTGTAGAAGTTTCATTTTTATTTCGATTTTTTCCAAATAATTTATGAAGCAACGTCAATATTTGGATGAAAATTGGTGTCTGGGAGTTTTTTGACATGAGAATTTTGATTTTGATGTCAATATGACTCCTATTTGTAGAGGGCGCCACCTACATATTTTTTAACTGGTTTGAAGAGTAATAACTTTTCGTCCCTACCTGTATAAACCGAATGAGTAAAAAAATATACATTTACGACGTTTTTTACGTAAAAAAGGTCTCCTGGTAAAAATCGCTACGAGTTATGATTCTCGAGATATAGTCAAATAACTATCTACTCAACGTGTTTATTTTTTGTCAATATAATATGTATAGTCTATAAAATGAATAACTTTGAATTTTGACGGTTATTTTTTACCAACATGGCAAATATCAAATCCCTCTATCCAAAAAGTTACTGATATTCTTTAAAATGAGTGCCTGAACGAATCAGATAGGTAACTCTTTTTACTTTCGTGAAATAGAAAAGGAAAATAATAAAACAAGTGACAGTTCTTCCTCTTCTTGCAAAAATCGACGCGAAATGTCATAATTGACAAAAGTAAAATGTCATCAGCTTTTGACATTTCTAAATATCAGCCCAATGCCGTCTCTAATAGAACAGCCTCGGAGCGAGATTTATGACGTCACGCTAGTTAGATACCACGGATTAATAAATATGTTTTAGAATACCATGGAAAACATAATTATTCCTCGTATTTTTGGTTTGTATTTTAAAAATGATATAGTTTACATAAAATATACATAATATACAGTTAATAAATACAATATATATACATATTTATAGTAATAAATACTTTGGCAAATAAACTATGAACCATACAAATGCCAGCAAATGTTTTACAATATACAAATAATGAATATATGATAATGGGTAAAATGTAAAGGTATAACATATGATAATGGGTAAAATGTAAAATATATTTTAAATTTTGGGGTTTGAAAATCGATCTAATTTAACAAAAAACATTCAATATCTACTAATAGTGATATATTATTATTTGCATTCACAAAATTTATATGTATATTTTGAAAGCATCAATGTTTGAAAAATTATATTTGCAAATAATACAATATCATAGAAAAAAAAGGCGTCAGCGATGGCTATGAAATTAAAATTATTCTAAAATTTTTGATTTTCTTGGGATTTAAGTTCGGGAAAAACGCTGATTACGTTTTCATTATTTTTTTTGGTTTAAAAAAAAACGTTATAGCTAAGGTTTATAGCCTTCATCAGTGTTGTGTCATATGAAAAAAATAGTGTCGAATATAATCCATAAAATTACATATACGAGGAATAATTATGTTTTCCACGTATTCTACAACATATTTATTAATCCGTAGTATCCAACTAGCGTGACGTCATAAAATTCGCTCCGTGGCTGTTCTATTAGAGACGGCATTGCATCAGCATGGCCGCAAGTTGCTAACTTAATAAAATTAACACTAGGAAAGCCCGCGGGAACTGTCAAATTCAAAGTTATTCATTTCACAGACTTATAGTAGTATGTATTGACTATTTCCAAATATTTTTATATATATGTATATATATATTAAAATATTTGTATTATATTTTTTTTTCTAAATATCTTGAGAACGGTTGCTCGTAGCGATTGTTACCAAGAGACATTTTTTACATAAAATATCACGGAAATGTATATTTTTTCACTCAGTAATTTTATACAGGTACGGACGAAAAGTTATTACTCTTCAAAACAGTTAAAACACATGTAGGTGGCGCCCCCTACAAATAGGAGTCATATTGACATCAAAATCAAATTTCTCATGTCAAACAAATCCCAGACACCAAATTTCACGCAAATATTGACGTTGCTTCAGAAATTATTTAGAAAAAATCGAAATAAGAATGAAACTTCTACACCCTGTATCTTCGAAATTAAGCATTTTAGGATACAAACTTTTTTACTTATTTTTATCTGCGGAATATGCTGCCCAAGTTTCCGGAATACAGTTCGGACCACCCTGTATATTTGTGTATCTGGAAAATTTATATGCTATAATCCTTCTATAATAATTAGTGATAATTTTTGAGTTTGAAGTTTTATATCAATTTTTAGTAAACGGCGTCTAGAGATTGACCACGCCAAAATTATCACCGATTGTCATACCCAAGCGTCTTCGACGCCGTTTTTTTTTTCAATCATAAGGTACAAACCAGATGTAAAAAATATCTCCTTACCTGAGATTTGGAAAGAACTTTTAAAGCAAATATTTCGTTCTTCTCCAAATTCACTATTTTGTACACTTTGCCAAAAGCACCCTTGCTGATCAACTGCAACGTTTCTAGATTTCTGTCTTTGTGATGATCCTTAATGGGAAATTCCGGTAAAAAATACGACTGCAACTGAGAAACGGGCCAGGCAGTCTTGCTTTGATCATACGTGAGCGATAGCGTCGAGTTTTTCCACCTAAATAATAAAGCTTTGTCTACACTTCAAGTCAATAAGTGGTGTTTTGTTTAAAATACACCCCTTGTTTGTTTTCTATTAACATAATATACTATTGTATTTTTTTTAAATAAAATAACTCCATATTTCCTGCTGTGCCTTCAAATTGTACCAACTTATTTCTTTGTAAAATAAAAAAAACTACTACGATTTTCGCGTGGGACACACTATAGACACAAGATTTAATTTCAAACATTTTAACTGACACAGGTAAGACTGTATGTATAGAGGGACCTTTATATTATAGTATTATAAAAAAAATTAAACTACTGACTATAAACTAATTTAAAGACATCATTAAAAATCAATAAACGAAAATAACTTTAAAATTACACTTTCCATTAGTACTTAAATATTTATTATAACTGTTTCCAAAGCTGCAAACAGAAATGATGAAAATATTTTATGCAAACATAATTGTTCCACCTTTATCCCAAACAAACAAACTTAAAATTGTATACCTACAAAAAACTACCTTTTTTTCTTAATAACAAATAAATGTGAACAATACAATAGCACAACAATAGTTACATGAAAGGACCCCCTGTTTCAAGAGAGATAAGCCTATTACATTTTATTTTATTTTGGTAATAAATTGATAAGCAAAACGCTGTCTACACAGACATTTTAACAGATAGATCTGTCTGACCTTATTTTCTAATTGTTTGCGCGAAAATAACGCAAAATAAAACTTCCTGGCTTTAATTTATGCAAAAATTAGAAACATCAAAAAATTATGGTGCAATAAGATCAACATTTTAGTTAAGAATACAGGAACAGCGCGTTATATAAGAAAATATATGCTATGGCCAAGTATAAATTTGTTTTAAAACAAATTAAAAAGATGATAACATTCAATCAGCTATGTAGAGCATGAATATCACACACAAAGTGCGTTTGAAATTTAAAAAAAGAAATAATGAGTGACACTACAAATATTTTAACAAGAACTGACTTGTTTTGGGACGAAATACCACTTACCTTCGTTTACAAGGCCTAGAAATGCTATTTTTCGAAGGCTGGCTATCAAAACTCCAAATACTCCTCAAACTATTGTTTAACTACGAAAAAAAGCGAAAATGACGCAGTTTAATAACAAATTGAAAGGTTAGAACACTCCAGTCTGACTTACCTCTTTGTAATCTTTGTAATAATTTCGTCTGTGTTTATAAACACCGTCCAGTTGTTGTTGGTCACTGTTCGCATCACTTTTCGAACTAATTTTGTTGCCCATAAGAAAGGGCCTGGTTCAGGTCAAGTTTGCCCTTTTTGCAAGAAGTTTCGCGCATTTCACTGACCCTAAATTAGTGTTCAGGTAAAATCTTTTGTCGAATTTTACAACTGTATTTGATTATTTTTGTAATGGTGATTTGGTAGGGTAATTGCGCATGGAAGTTGATAAATTTTGCCAAAATGACAACGCACTGACAACTTACCGTGGCTCCCCCTCTTGGCATTTAATGACACTAAAAACTAAAATTAACAGATTTCTTCTTTCTCGATTAAACTCATAAAACTATTGAACGATAGATGGCAGCACAATTTTAATTATTAAAATTTTATTGTTTTTATTAAAAAATACTTGGTAAATGTTTAAAATATATCCTAATTCCATACTTATTTTGTTTCTTTAAAGTTTGTTAATATTTGATACTTTACAGTAAAGATATCAATAATTTTTTAACAAAACAAGGAAATTTACGTGTTTAATATAAAAGAATACAAAAAGAGTTTATTTTATCAACTTTAATAAAATATTTCTTAATAAAATTATGAACAAGTACGTAAAATACAGTATTGGCAACTAGTTATACACATTAACATAAAAGGGGGCTTTACGCTCCATTTTTGAATTATATTTTAATATTGTTACCCATAAATACATTAAAAGACCTTTAATACTTTCTATTTAATTTATTTTAATTAGTTTAGTTTAAAATAACAACAATTACGTCACAAGCGTTATTTTACGTCAAATTAATATAATCTGAGATAAAGTAGGTACTTTTTTATTTTTAGCTTTTGGAAATAAATAAATTATCCGTTTATGGTTATTTTTAGCACGAGATTTGGTAGTAATAATTCGAAATAAATGTTTTTTAGTTTAGAATGAGAACCAGGATATTTTTTAATCGACAGGTCTGAATTAAAAATACTTGAAATTGGCTAAGAGACTCTTTAATAGTAAAAAAAAAAACGCTGGATATGGATAGCTTTGAATTAGGTGTACCTTTAACTGATTCTGGCTGTTCTAAGGTTATCGCTTTTTGACACGGCTTATCAGAAACGAAACAAGATGTTTATTATTATTGAATAGAGAGAGTACCAGTAGAAAGTGTGATATCACTTTGACAAGACAGCATTTAGTTCCCACATCAAAAGCACCAGTGATTTCAGACATTTCGGACATCAAGTCAAAATCCACTAGAAAAAAAAATTAAAAAATAAAATAAAAGAGTGACAGTGAAATCTAATAAATATTAAATTAAATAGAGAGAATTTTTAAATACCTGACAAAAGAGTAAAAAATGGCAGAAAAGGTGCAAAGTTTGGAATCCTTGCTGAAATCGGCTGAAGATATATTTAAGCAGGAATTTGGGGCACCAGCGGACATAGCAGTGTCGGCGCCAGGAAGGGTCAATCTTATTGGGGAACATACAGATTATAATGATGGATTTGTCATGCCCATGGTAAGCATCGTATTTTTATTTTGAAAAAAGATTATTTTAAATTTTAGTAAAAATTTCACCAAAAATGAAGATTATCTAATACTATACAGGGTGTCTCGAGTTAAATAAGTGCAATTATTTTAGCGGGTAGAATAATTCCATCCCAGAAACACGCAAGTTATTGAATATTTTACAAATCTTGTGAAAAAAAATTTATTGAGTTTTTTCTAAGAAGTGTATATTGAGCCTTGCAATGTTGTCACCTCCTACGTTACTGACAGTTGCATATTTGTGTGTTTATAAGTTCACATAAAGGACCATTACTACCGCTTTGGCGTTCAAAATATTCTAATAACGTTGCGATGAGTTTTTTACGGCTATTAAGCTATCTTGTATACTTTGCACTAAAAAAAGGGTTCTAAAAAGAACAAAATGTTCGACTGCAAATACAGGGTGTTGTATTTTTATGTAAAGTTGTAAGTTTTTGTGTAAAATAAATATTTAAAATAGACCAGCAATTTTTGATACCCCTGTATACATTTAAGGAAGCAATCAAATTTTTTAGTAAAGTTTATTTCTCTGGCTGGAAAGTCAGCACAAGAATTAGTTCTGAAAAGTAATGTACGAGGTTTTGACAAAAAAAATATGCACAAACAGCTATTATACTCACTGATTGGAACATTAAAGGCTATAGATAAGCGATAGGAAATGACATTAAATGAAAAAAGTATTTAAAATGTCATTAAAAAAAAATCTTAAAATTGAAAGTAAAACCTTTTAATTTCTGAAGAATGTTTGTGTTTGACATGACAACAAGATAAAACTGAATATTCCCTGCCTTTTATAAAATCGATATTTCATTTTTAAACATACAGGGCGTAGAAAAATAGTGTACCAAACTTTAGTGGGTAATAAACAGTGGTTCCCCAAGTAGCATTTTCACGACTTGCGACCACATGTTTACTAAACACAACGTTGGATTAGTTACAAAAAATAGTTAGCTCCCTACCTTGGGTATTAAAATAAATGTAAACGTTGTTGTAACGTTGTGCCGACGTTGAACTAGTACTACAACAAAGTAAAAAACGCTTCTGCGACGTCGAATAAACGTTGTCTTGTAACCTTTTTTGCTTAAGTGATCTTTAGGTGATTCGGACAACGTAGTTACAATGTTGGGCAATAAAGCGAGTTTTCCGACGTCACTTTCCGGACGTATTCCAACGTTATGCAAACGTCGTCTGTTTTACTAATTCCAACGTTGTTTAGATTTCCTTATTCTTATGTTGGTAGAACGTCGTATTGAACCATAACCTTAAATCTTAAATTTTCACTTCATTGTTCTGTTCAGTCAGACAGTTCAGTGCTGTTTTTGTTTTTATAAAAAAAAATTAATTAAAATGGGACGTAATAAGAAAGACACATATAAAACCGATATTACCGATACTTTAGCCACTCCCTCGTTTATTTAGAATATATAGGGCACAAGCTAGACTCTACGATGACTATATTAGGCAATTTTGCGACTAGTATACTACCTGTTAAGGCTGAACTGCGACTTTATTAGTCCAGTATGCGACTACTCGAACTACTCCATCTTAATCTCCAAAACAACAAAGTGAAAGCCGCCATGTTGTTGAATAAGAAAATGTTTCGTTCCTAAAATAGCAATTCCTGCTTTTTGAATACATTAACTTGAAATATTTGACCCTAAACAACACGCGGAAACAATTTTTTTTCGACTGCGAATAAATTATTTTCATTTTACTAAAAAAAAATTCAACAATTTTTTTAAAACTTCTTTAATTTTAAAGAAGTCATTAGTATTTTTCAAAGTAGAAACAATACATTTATCAATAAAGTTGTTTGCGTTTAACTTTTTTGCCTTGGGTAACGAGTTACAGAGTTAGTTAAAGTGTTTCAATAATTGTGATCTTCAAACATCCTCCACACTTAAATAATTTTGTTTTGTTTTCCTTTACTATCATCTGGCATATATCTCTAACTAAATCATAAAAATAATATTTTTATTATAATTATCCCAAATTAGGATAAAACGCGACTTATTATTATAGTTTTGTATTTCTGTGAATTAGGATTTGAAACAACGTTGCAGTTTGTGCTAAATTAGGCTGCTAGCCAACGTAGGTATCCAACGTCGTTTCGACCAAAAAATTATTCGCCAAACTAGTGCAGACTAAGGTTGGCACGAGGTTGTGCCGACGTTGCGCCCCGAGGTTTGGTCGCGTGACACAACGTTGTCCCGACGTCCAAATGCTGCTTGGTTCACCCTTTATAAATCAATGCAAAACTACAAATTGTTATTGTACCAGAAAGTCGAATGTTTAGTAAACAAATCAGGTCATGCAAATCAAATAATATATCGATAATATCGATTTTTTATCTTGCTGCACTTGAAAATTATGGTTTTAATAACGAGTGCAACTATGCAAAATATTCTTCACGACTCAAGGTCATCTAAGACTTATCTATAATATATTGTAAAATTTTCTCGCAAAAATTGAAATTTTTGTATGTAAATCATGGTTTTCTGTGATTTCCTGCATAAAAAGTCTTGAATAATGACAGAAAATACAATTTTCCTGTAAATTAAAACGACAGACGCAGCTGTCAATGTCAGGTAACCTATCGATGGACCGACTATACGTAGTTTAGAGTTTTTTAAAATTGCAGTAAAAATTTTAAAGCTTCATTTCTCCAAGGGTATTAATGTTTTTAATACTAAATATTTAATGAAGTTTATTTATTGATCAGTTATTGTGTTGCAATAATAAAAATAATACTACCTTATACAGAGTGTCTAAAAATTTATTTTAAATAATTATTAGCTTCAAACGGCAATAACTTCTTTAATTTAAATGGAATGCCCTATATATTTTAGGAGAATCAGATGCACAATTAAATTGTCTATCAAATTGTATTATACCATTTTTTACCTATCCCTTCAAGTTTTCGTAGAAAATGCATTTTCTTATAATTTAGACCTCATTTATCAATATATCCATGGAATATTGACATTTTAGATTGTTTTTAAAGCAACAAATGTACAAAATGTACAGACTAGTAATATTATCGTTTTTAGCAAAACAATAATATTACTAGCCCATTTGTATCCAAAAAGAAAACTATTTAAATCTTTATAAAAGAGTATACCATTAATTAAATATAACACCATTATTTCCGCCCATATACTAATTAATGACATACTTAATTGTGTTCGTTAATAAATTATTATAAATAAATGTGGATTTTTGAGTCAGAAATCAATATAATAATAAGTTATCAAATTAAAGTCTTTGTTGTTATAAATAAGCATTTATTAAAAAATGAAATATCATTTTTAAGGTGTTACTTTTATCACACTGTCTAATGCCCATACAAAATTCAGTTTTTTAGTATTTGGAGCAATTATTATTAATCAACGCAAACAGTCAGTTAATGTAGTTTGAATACTGGAATCATATTAATTGGTCCTCTTTAACAAATATTTAAACAGTTTTTTTAATTTTTTTAATGAAATAAACGTATTATATCGACAATATTAGTATCTGTACTCTTTAAAAATTTGGTACATCTTTAAAAATAATCTAAAATGTCAATAGTCCATGGGTATATTGATAAATAAGTTCTAAATTACAAGAAAATGCATTTTCTACGGAAACTTAAAGAGATAGGTAAAAAATGGAATATAATTTGATAGACAATTAAATTGTGCATCTGATTCTCGTAAAATATACAGGGTATTCCATTTAAATTAAACAAGTTATTGCCGTTTGAAGCTAATAATTATTTAAAATAAATTTTTAGACACTCTGTATAAGGTAGTATTATTTTTATTATTGCAACACAATAACTGATCAGTAAATAAACTTCAGTAAATATTTAGTATTAAAAATTTCGATACCCTTGGAGAAATGAAGCCTTAAAATTTTTACTGCAATTTCACAAAATTGAAAATATTTCAAAAACGGTAAGGTTTAAGTATAATAAATCTTAACCAAATTTACCTTTATTTTAATCGTAGAAACGTAATAATAATAATAAAAAATGTAATAATATACAGGGTGTTATATTTAAAAAAATACAACTTTGATATTTTTTACTTATTTGGGACACTCTGTATCTTGTAAAATTATTTTTAAATTATACCTCTAATAGTTCTTCATCGAACCCAAAACTTACAATTTGTAAAAATCTCATCGTTTAGCTACAATACTCCGTGTCGTATGTGGTGAACAACCCTGTATATGTACTTGATATGTGCTATACGTCGATACTAGTTTTGTACCTTTTGTTAACATTTTAATACGTTTTTTTCGTAATTAATTAGGATGATACACCATAGGCGTAGTCAAAACAATTATCAAAAAATATAAATATTGCTTCAAACAGCTAGGTTAAGAAAAATATGTGCCACGGCACTGTTTGGTGTCATCGTCACAATTTGCTCTCGGGTGTTATTTGTCCTTGGATTCTTTAGTCATTGTATGCAACCAATATGTAAGTTGGTAATTAAATTTTAGGCACTCCCTCTAGTGACGGTGGTTGTAGGAAGAAGAATTTGTGGTGAGATCGCAACTGTAGTGACTACAAATAAGGAAGTGGACGAACCTAGAAAAATAACTATTGACATGCCCAATCCCAATGCACTCGTCAAAACACTGGAACACACTGGTCCAAAATGGGGATTGTATGTCAAAGGTATGCCATAATTACCTGTTCAGCCCAAAAAAAACTTTTGTGTAGACGAAAAAAAGCAATTTTTACTGTCTATCATTATGTACAGCATAATGATATACACTTTATTGATTTCTTAATAAGTTTTTCACGTGATACATTAATGAATACTTCTGATTTATTGTAACTAACAAACAACTAAACTTATCTACTCAACAAATATAGATTTTAGGTATAAAATGTTTTTAATAATACCGAAAAAAAAATGATTAAGAAAATATATCATCTGTCCAAAGGGAGGATCCCTGAGAATGACAGTTATATCTATCATTTTGGGAAGTACCTATTATTACTCTGGTATTAATTAAAAAAATCTCCAGTGGTTCTCAAAATTTAAGCAAAAACTCATTTTTTTGGAAATCATGATTTTACATTTTAAAAAGACTTTTTTTATATAATATCACGTTTTAATATCAATTAAAGTACAATTTTAACACTTCAGAACGAGAGTATGGAAAATGTGGAGATTTTTGATCAGATTTTAAGCGTTTTAAAAAATATATAGTAAACACTTGAGGTAATGATTAAAACAATTAAAGATAAATGAACATATTAAAGAAATATGTATAATAATGCCTTTAGGTCGTGAATTTCATTTTTTACCACGTGATTAGTATGATAAAAAAGTCCCGAATGAATGCTATAATATTACAAGAATACGTATTACCCTTGTTTATTATTACTTAAAATAATAAATACAGGGTGTTTCAAAAAACATGTGCAATATCTCGTGAGGAGATTCCTCGTGTAAAAATAAAATAGTATCGTTAAATGAAACTGAACATATCGAAATTAATTAAATCAAATTGTTTAACTGACCTTATATTTTACCTTAATCGGGTCTATTTGTAATAAAATCTGTATAATAAGTAACATTTTTTTTTTAAATTTAGGAGTTATCTCAAACTATGTCGGAGGCTGTCCAGCTGGATTTCAAGCCGTAATCCATACCAACGTTCCTACAGGAGGGGGGTTGTCCAGTAGCGCATCATTGGAAGTTGGTATCTACACGTTCCTAGATGCATTGACAGGTTCAACAAGCGTATCGTACGTACCTTTTAAATTCTTTCTAAGCCACAATAACATTTACATACATTCTCTTTGAGAATGTATTTGTAGATTTTTTCTAACTGTAAATACTATTAAATAAACTGATCGAAAAAAGTTAAGGATATTGTGTTTCCGCTAAGAAGAAAATTTTTCAGAAAAAATGTGTTATAGCTATTAATACCTATGTCGTTTGTGTTTGAAAAAATAGTGTTTGTAAACATAAAAAATTGTACCCAAACAAATAAAAAGCATTATGATCAAAAATGTATATACATTTAATTTTTGTTTAGAATAGAATTTGTTTGCGTGTTGCTAAGCGGCATTTTGCGATATTGTGGGTATTCTGTCATCGATAATATCTTTGAATAAGAAGACTAAGGAAGGAGCATAACGTTATCCATTTATTCATGCATGGTGGGCGGAAAAAGCTCTCTAGGGTGGGGATCCTTGACAGTTCTGTTTGACGATACATTTGACACATTTGAATTTGATTTGAAATTTTGTGGATTTGTCAGTCTTTACGGAACTTATTTTATGTTATTTATTATTTATTCTACTACTGATAGTTGTATAAAGGTAGTAAATCTAGATGGAAATTGTGGCAGAACTTAAATTAACAGTGACATTATCGCGATTTATCGAAAAAGACTCTAAAATAGTTGGTTGTGTAGCGTGCGGTAGATCTCGGCAAAAATTGAGTGAAATAATGGAACAACTTTTCGCTAGTAAGCGACTATATAATATACATGCGTGTAGTAAACCGATCATTTATGAAATTCACTTAAATTAACTAAATTATATATTTTTCTTGCATTTTAGCTTTTATTTATTACTTGTCAAAGATTATATAGATGTCAAAGATTAGATGTCAAAGAATTTAGATACGTTTTGTACATAGATAAAAGAAAATAATCTTCTATTAAGATAGATATGAAACTTAATAGTAAAATTTTGGGTCAAAGCGCCTCTCCGTGTTCTTAGTAGAGACTACGTTTAACCCAGCGCCTTCGCCTTTTCTGGTGTAAATATTTTTTATGTTTATATTTGATTTCAAAGATTTACTTTTAAAGTTACACTGATATATATTAGTATATCAGAGTAACTTTAATAAAACATAAGAATATATATATTTTACAGTTTATTAAATATAAATTTTGACTACAAGGTAGAAAGTAAATCACAATATTTGATAAAACTTATAAGTATACCATTTTTACAGTTAATAAATAATAAAACTATTTCTGACTACGATATTTAAAATTTAGATAGATAGAATATTAAAAAGCATACCGGTATTAGCAGACGCAGACCCAAATTCAATAAAAACCAAAACTTTTCCTGCGAAAATCGGGCATTTTTCACAGAAAAAGGTATTTTTTGATTTATCAACAATCATTGTCAAGTTGACAATATACAGGGTGTTTTCTAATTAGTCTAAAAAATTGTGGTGTGATTCCTCACGTGTTCTTAAAACAATTTTTATATAACCATTAGGTCTAAAGTACTTCCTTTCTGATCTACAGGGTGTTAAAAATTAAAAAAAATCGATATTTTGCTTAACATAAATGGTACACTCCTGCTTTTTTAAAGAAAATATATTTTTTTCTTGACTGGCCATCCTTTTTCAACAAAATTGATCTTTTGAGTTTTTCTTGTTCATCAAACGGTTGCCGAGAAAAAAATAAACATACTTATTAAGAGCCCGCCTTAAGCCGTTATCTAACGATTTTTTATTTTTTAGATTAATTAGGAAACACCCTGTATATGCATATCACAGGCAACCAAATAAACTAGTAACCTCTAAAAATTATTTTTCCTACCACTAGCGACATACCGTGTTTTTAGTGAGTAATAAATTATTTTATCAAAATTTCACCATATAAGTTTCCAGGCAATGGTTTTGTATACGTTAATTTGACTTACCTGCTTCAGTAGCGTATCGGATGTTTGTGTTAATAAATACTTATTATAACTTATCTATTTTTATTAGAATTATATATTTTTATAACAATTTTAATAACTACCAACATTTATTCACAACGTAAAATAAAACAGCAAATTATTGAGTCTACCCTACATCATAGTTTTACATTTTTTATATAAAATTAGAACGACACTGATAAACCGGAATTTAAGTCGGCCATATTTGAGGCCCATCGCGGTGTACCTAAGATTTTTGATATGCTCCTTCCTTAGTCTTCTTATTCAAAGGTACCCCCATTTCCCTACTCATGTCATACTGACGGACGTTCTGAAAAATTTATTTGCCAATTTGTCAACAGCAAAGTTGTTTTATACAATGTCACAATAACCTTAACATGTCAAAATACTTGACACATAAATATACACTGCCCAAATATTCGAAAAAAATGTGTAAAGAGTCGTATTCATTTTTTTTTGGAACCAGCTGTACATTTTTGATGATAATGCTTTTTATTTGTTTGGATACAATTTTTTATGTTTAAAAACAGTATTTTTTTTAAACACAAACGACATAGGTATTAATAGTAATAACACATTTTTTCTGAAAAATTTTCTTCCTAGCTAAAACTAAAACATAATATCCTTAACTTTTATCGATTAGTTTATATTATTTTCAGATCAAATGATAAAGCTTTGGCATGTCAAAGGGCCGAGCACCAATACGCTGGCATGCCCTGCGGCATCATGGACCAATTCATCTCTGTGATGGGTAAAGAAGGAAATGCTCTCTTAATTGACTGCAGGTATCCAGAACATTACATAAAATCTTAATGAAAAACTAATAAAAAAATTCTAGGAGTATGAACTCCGAACTAATTCCATTAGATGACCCGAAAATTGTAGTACTTGTTACAAATTCCAACGTCAAACACGAGCTGACTGGTAGCGAGTATCCTACAAGAAGGAAACATTGTGAAGAGGCAGCATTATTGCTGAAAAAAGTCAGTTTAAGAGATGCCAACGAGAGTGACATCCAATGTAAGCACGCCCCCTTAGGGAGAGTCCGTTAATTACGTTGGGAAGTCAAGGGAGAATTTAAGACAAATATCACGACATCCAGGGTTGGGTAACGACGCGTAGAAAATTCATTTTCTACGTGTATGTAGAAAAATGCGTAGAAAATGTCGTATTATGTAGAATTTTAAATTAGAAATAGTTATTTTTTATACAAGTCGTCCGAATGACCGAAAAGATTAATTCACGAGCGTTGAAATCGCGAGCGAATTAATTTCGTTTACGTTTTAAAAAATATTCAAAATTATTATTTCAAGGAATTTATTACGAGTAGAAAAAATATTGTGCTGGGTTGGCGTTGGTTTCTATATGTAATTTGACAAATAAATAAAGCTGTCTCTTTAGTTGTCAGTTTTGAGCATGGACAAACAAATAAAAAGAGACTGACAGAATAACAATTTTGAAACCAATTAGCAGGACCACGGCAGGACGTACGTCTTTATTGCTATCTTTCTTTATTATGTGTGCTTCATATGAAAAAGAAAGAGATAGGTATAAAACGTATCCTAAGATATTATCGCACATTCTGGCTGGCGGGAAATTTAAATTAGCCATTATTAGTAGTGTTCTTTCGTTCTGAACGAACTGAAAATTTTCACTTAAACTGATTTATTCCCTATACCACGTAATTTTCTTTAAATTCTATAAGTGTGAAAACTACCTTCTACATACCCAACCCTGACGACATCTCACCAGTGAGGATGGGTAAAAAATACCTCGCGTAATTTTTGGACGCACCCTTATACAGGGTTGTTCACCACATACGACACGGAGTATTGTAGCTAAATGATTAGATTTTTACAAATTGTAAGTTTTGGGTTCGTTGAAGGACTATTAGAGCTACAATTTAAAAATATTTTTACAAGATACAGAGTGTCTCTACTCTGTCTGGTATGGTATATTAATGGTATATTATTACATTTTTAGTTTCTACGATTAAAATAAAGGTAAAGTTGATTAAGGTTTATTACACTTAAACCTTGCCGTTTTTGAAATATACATCTTTAAAAATAATCTAAAATAATCATGAAATATCATTTTTAAGGTGTTACTTTTTATCACACTGTCTAATGCCCATACAAAATTCAGTTTTTTAGTATTTGGAGCAATTATTATTAATCAACGCAAACAGTCAGTTAATGTAGTTTGAATACTGGAATCATATTAATTGGTCCTCTTTAACAAATATTTAAACAGTTTTTTTATTTTTTAATGAAATAATATACGAATTATATCGACAATATTAGTATCTGTACTCTTTAAAAATTTGGTACATCTTTAAAAATAATCTAAAATGTCAATATTCCATGGGTATATTGATAAATAAGTTCTAAATTACAAGAAAATGCATTTTCTACGGAAACTTGAAGAGATAGGTAAAAAATGGTATAATACAGTTTGATAGACAATTAAATTGTGCATCTGATTCTCATAAAATATACAGGGTGTTCCATTTAAATTAAACAAGTTATTGCCGTTTAAAGCTAGTAATTATTTAAAACAAAATTTTAGACACTCTGTATAAGGTAGTATAATTTTTATTATGGCAACACAATAACTGATCAATAAATAAACTTCAGTAAATATTTAGTATTAAAATCTTCGATACCCTTGGAGAAATGAAGCCTTAAAATTTTGACTGCAATTTCACAAAATTGAAAATATTTCAAAAACGGAAAAATTTAAGTGCGGTAAACCTTAATCAAATGTACGTTTATTTTAATCGTGGAAACTAAAAATGTAATAATATACAGAGTGTTCCATGTAAAAAAATACAACTTTGATATTTTTTATTTATTTGGGACACTCGATATCTCGTAAAAATATTTTTAAATTGTAGCTCTAATAGTCCTTCAACGAACCCAAAACTTATAATTTGCAAAAATCTAATCGTTTAGCTACAATACCCCGTGCCGTATGTGGTGAACAACCCTATATATTTACTTTATAACTTTTTTTAAACTTTATTATTTACAGACTTAAAATCTATAGAAGCTGATGAAGTACTAATAAAACGAGCTAGACATGTGGTGTCAGAAATACAAAGAACTGTACAAGGTGCTACAGCACTGAAAGAACGAAACTATAACAAGTTTGGACAGCTCATGATTGAGAGTCACAACTCGCTGAGGGATGACTATGAGGTTTCCTGTCCAGAAATAGACTCTTTAGTTGAATTAGCTCTTAAAGTTGACGGAGTTTTGGGTAGTAGGATCACTGGAGGAGGTTTTGGAGGATGTACAGTTACTCTAGTGAGTGAAACTCGCTTTAAAATTTAAGATATACCGGGTCCTGTGCGTCGGGCATCTGTAGCTCCTATACAGGGTGTCATTGAAATGGTGTAAAAAAAAATCAGGGGGTGATAGTACTCATAAAAATAGTAAAAAAAGTTCCTATAAGTATAGGGCGGAAAAGGCATATTAAGGGAGTTAGGGGCACTGAAAAGGTGAATTTAAAAAACGGTTGTTTTGAAATTGTAGGCTTGTAGGCACCCTCAGGGTGCAGCCACACTATCCTAAAAACGGCGTATCGGCGTAACGGCGTAATGACCTTGAATAGATTTCCAGTAATTCTATTGGTTGAAACATTCATCTGTCAGAAATTTTATCTGTCAAATTCATCTGTCAAAAATTTATATACGCCGATACGCCGTTTTTAGGATAGTGTGGATGCACCCTCAGGTAGGTACACAATTTAATTTTTTGTCTCCTAGGAATAATCTCTCAGGGTCTTGTGCAGAACAGGTCCCCACGAAATCGTGGTTTTTTTAATTTTTAATGTGGATCCCATAGTTAATGGAATGGTTTAAAAGAAAAAAATTGTTGGATGAACCACTTTTTCTACGAAAAAAAATAATTGAAAATTCCAAATTTTCACTACATTTCAATGCGAAAACTCCCTATTATAACCTTCATAAAGACAGTAAAATACAAGGTTATGCACAGTGTTGCCATACTCACCCTGTGTAAAATCGACGAAAACGTTCTACTTTATATTCATTTTTTTACATTTAGTACGCACTTTAAGAACACGAAAAATTAAAAATATAATAAACGAGGCAAAAACAAAAACACTATAAAAATAAATTGACAATAAAATCATTACACAGTATTTAGCACAATTGTTTAAAAATATATTTTTCCCGGATTTGTTCAGTAAGATTCCGAAATCGATGTGATCTGCGTACTTCCAAACACTCCCCACCAACCTAACCTAACCAATGCATTAACACCCCCAAATAACCAGGCTAACCAATGCATTAACACCCTCCAAATAACCAGACTAACCAATGCATTACCACCAGGGTTCGGAAAACTACATGTTACTTTTAAAAACTACATAAACTACATTGCATGTAGTTAATGTAGTTTATGTAGAGGGTGTAGTTTATGTAATCTATGTATGTAACTTTCAAATGTCAAAGGTTTGAGGTGAGGTTATAATAAGTTGAAGCTTTAAAAACACATAATGTATTTAAGAAAACAGAAGAAATATGGCTTTAAATATAATATTTACATCATATTATCTCTATTACACCTCATATAAAGGAAAATTATTCATAATATCAATACATAGTTTAATAACGTAGTTTTCATGTAGTTAATGAACGGGAAAAGACGTAGTTTTTGAAGAAAAACTACACGTATTTAATCAGGTAAATTACGTCTTAATTAACTACTTCCGAACCCTGATTACCACCCTCCAAATAACCAGAATATCTAACCTAACCTAACCAATGCATTAACACCCCCAAATAACCAGGCTAACCAATGCATTAACACCCTCCAAATCACCAGGCTAACCAATGCATTAACACCCTCCAAATAATCAGGCTAACCAATGCATTACCACCCTCCAAATAACCAGCCTATCTAACCTAACCTAACCAATGAATTAACACCCAAATAACCACGCTAACCAATGCATTAACACCCTCCAAATAACCATGCTAACCAATGCATTACCACCCTCCAAATAACCAGGCTAACCAATGCATTAACACCCCCAAATAACCAGGCTAACCAATGCATTAACACCCTCCAAATAACCAGGCTAACCAATGCATTACCACCCTCCAAATAACCAGGCTAACCATTGCATTAACACCCTCCAAATAACCAGGCTAACCAATGCATTACCACCTTCCAAATAACCAGGCTAACCTAATTGAGCCTAATGACAAAACTTCATTGATTACGCGTCGAAAAACAGTATATATTAAAAAAACTTATATTTTCGTAGAACCTGAAAAATCCGCAAATTTTATTTCAGAAATTGCTTTAAAATAATCCACACTAACGAATAAGCTACTAGACAGTTCAATTTTTGTTGCACTAAAGTGATAACTTACCGTTTTAAGTCCCTCCACAACAACTTTATTTCAGAAGAAAATCATATAAAGTAATTTTATTGACAACGTCGCAAATTCTATGCGAAGGCCATAGATGACATACCGATGATCGATTAACTGTCAATCGAAAAAGTCATAAAATTGCTAGCTTGAGCTGATGTAAATAAATATATTTTCTTAATTTTTATGCTTACAAAGAAGATTCGTTACATTTTTGTGCTTAAATTAGATCATTCCACGTCTATATAAGGTAATAAAGTACTAATATGTGATGTTTTTACTGAATCCGTGTAGAAAATTTAACATATTTACTGTCCGTCGCCTGTACCTAAAATACGTTTTTTTGCCGCTTTTTAAAGATAAAACACATTCATCCAACAATTTTTATGCTTAAAAATATTCAGTTTAAGATCATCTTGCAAAAAAATCCCAAAAAAGTGTTAAATGCGTGGGGACCTATTGTGCACCAGAGCCAATCTCTCATCCTCTTACTCTGGCCCACGGCGAAAAATCGCCCGAGGCAGCGCTTTTGCCGGTTCTATTTTGTAGTAGGTATATTTGAAATAGTTTTTTAAATAATAAGTGGTAATAGTAATTTTATTCTGCATTTCCCCATGTAAATAAAATAGCAAATCCCAGAAGACAATACTCCTGAGAAAACTCATAAGGTTAAGTAATGAAATAGAAATTTAAAATTTGTACTTCTAGTCTATACAAAATAAATTAGGATTATTATGAGAAAATTGTGACAACATCGTAAAATGCAAGGAAGTTTTTTGCTCCCATTCTTTCGACCTCCCGTCAGGGGTTGTCAGACTGTAATTTACGTATGCACTTAAACAAAATTCCTAAGTTCTTTTTTATCGGACCTACAGATGCCTGATAACACTGTTTGTACTCTAACAGGACACTGTGTGTACTCTAATACTAATAATTAATCAAAATAATTAATTATAATAATAATGATTGATTGTTTTAGGTAAATGCTGATGCTGTTGACAAAGTGATCGAAAATATAAATAAAAACTACAAAGGAAAAGCTACATTCTATGTTTGCAAACCTAGTGCAGGGGCTCGCATTTTAAAAGCATACAAATTCCCAGAATAAATGGATTCTACATGTGTAAACACATATAAAAAAGTACAATAAGGATGCCTTGAAAGAAACCCCAAAATAAAACAAATATATATTATATTTAAATAAAAAAATTGCCTTACCTAAAATTACACTAAAAATTTATTTTTTATTTCGCATTCTAATCTCGTGCAGAAGATAGGCCTTGATGCTAGGGTCGGATATTCTTTCGTTGATTTCTTTGATGGCTTTTTCACCACCATCTCGATAGTATTTGCATAGTTCTTCAGCGTAGTCTAGCCATACACAGTTTGCGCAACCCGACATACAACAAGTGGTTGGTTCTTCAGGCGGTTCTTTGGGTTTTTCATTGGAATTTTCCTGTTTTTTCTTGTCATTACTTGTATCGTTAGCGCTATAACGTATTATCGAAGCGTTTTTTAGTATTAAACAAGAGATTTTACCTGTTTTTGGACATGATACTATTTGTTGTTTTACTGAAAATATAGCCTGTTATAATTAATTGTGCAATTAGACAATAACGTAGTAATACTTACGGTACCTGGATAAAATCATTTATTATTTTTAATAGGGCTTCATTTAGTTATATAATATATTTAAACATTTTTGAAAAATTTAGATAAGTAAGGTTAGAGTCCATGTTTTGAAAATTTTGACGTTACAGACGTCAGTACATTTTAACTACCAGTAATATATGAACTACCATAAACAAATTTGAATTTAAAACCCTAATAATTAATTAGTGAGTTTTTTCTTGTGTTTATTTTACTAATCGATAAATAAGAATCTTAAAAATGAATCGATAACGGATAAATAATTATTTAAGAAACTTTATCTTTTGACAACGTGGTTAACAAATGTCACTTGACCTTGGCATCTTGTCTCTTGACAGCAAATCTTGCAGGAACAGTGAATTTGTTAATCTGTGCTCGCAGGAATCGAAATTTTATCCATATTCAGCAAGTTTCAATATTGTTTAACTCTAGAAAATCTTTCGACAAAAAAATGTCGTCCGAAAACGCTCTAAATTCAAGTGATAACGACAATCTGTGTTGTATTTGTTTCAAGAATGTCGAAGTATACTCCATAGGAAGTTGCGATCATCCAGTATGTTTCGAGTGTTCCACCAGAATGAGGGTGCTCTGCAAGCAAAAAGAGTGCACCATTTGCAGGAGAGAGCTCCCTAAGGTAACGACAATAACACAATATTCCCGCAGGTTCTGTTAACTTCTAGATTATAGGAGTTCTATTTTTAACTTTAACCTCTCTTCTGTGTACTTGTCACTTATATAATAATAATAAAACCATAAACAAATAAATGTAATTATGTTTATTTATCAATTCCAGGTACTTTTTAGCAAGAAAATCGAACCGTATTCAGTAATGTACCCAAGGTTCGAGAGATCCAACTTACAGGAAAGACGTTTCGGGATCATTTTCTCTAGTTTCGAGGTACAAAAAGCTTACCAGAAGCTGTTAGAACACCGTTGTCATATTTGTGAGGATAATGAACATAAATGGTCATATAAAACCTTTCAACAATTGAAAGACCACATGCGTAGGGAGCACCGATTGTTTTACTGTGATATTTGCAGTGATAACTTAAAAATCTTTAGTTTTGAGAGAAAATGTTACAGTAGTCAGGATCTGGCTTATCACAGGAGAAAAGGAGATAGAAATAATACTTCTCATAAGTAAACATTTCACCACAGAGTGTAGAAAAGTATTAATTATGTTACTTTTTAGAGGCCATCCTTTGTGTGAGTTTTGTGACACCCGTTTCATGGACAACGACGAACTCTTCAGGCATTTAAGAAGAAATCATCTATTCTGTCACCTGTGTGATGCCGATGGTAAATATCAGTACTATGAATCAATGGAAGACATGAAAAAACACTTCCATGACGAGCATTTTCTGTGTGAAGAGGGTGATTGTAAGAACATGCCTCTCACAGCTGTTTTTAGGAGTAACATCGATCTGAAAGGTAAGAAATAGATACGGGATGTGTGTAATAACATTGCTGAAGCCTCTTTGCAGCTCATATAGCGCAGGAGCACAGTAGGTTCATGAGTAAGTCGGCTAATAAGCAAGCTAGGACTTTGGAACTAGAGTTTACTTTGGCACCGAGACCCAGGAGTGAGAATATGAGGAATAAACGAGGTGACAGAAGAGACAGGTAGGGTAGATTGAGGTTATAGGAGGATCTATAGAATGATTGAAAATTGTCAAAAAACAGGGTCTGGAAAAATCTATTCTTTCGCAAAATTAAGGCACTCAAGTTCTGAACTGATAATGTTTTCGAAAAATTCATAAAATTTCCTACAAATCTTGAAATTTTCATAAGTTTATCAATGTTTCTACTATTTTTTTAAGCGTCTTGAAAATGTTTAAAAAATAGCCAAAAAATGGTCAATTTTTTCCATACATAATATACTCATGAAAATTGACGATTTTGGTGAAACTATTGTTATTAACTAATTAAAAGGTGTAGAATCAGAAAACATAGTCCATTTTGGCTTTACAAGTACGGTATTAGACACAAGCGAGGTTTTAACAAGTATCAAAAATCGTCGAAAAACAAGGACTGAAAAAATCATTTTTTCCGCAAAACTAAAGCACTTGAGCCCTGAACTGTTTATGTTTTTGAAAAGTACATAAAATTTCCTACAAATCCTGAAAATTTCATAAGTTTATCCCTATGTTCACTATTTTCCTGAGCGCCTTGAAAATGTCTAAAAAATAGCCAAAAAATGGTCAATTTTTCAACTTGTTCCCATACATATACTCATGAAAATTGACGATTTTGGTGAAACTATTGTTATTAACTAATTAAAAGGTGTAGAATCAGAAAACATAGTCCATTTTGGCTTTACAAGTATGGTATTAGACACAAGCGAGGTTTTAACAAGTATCAAAAATCGTCGAAAAACAAGGACTGAAAAAATCATTTTTTCCGCAAAACTAAAGCACTTGAGCCCTGAACTGTTTATGTTTTTGAAAAGTACATAAAATTTCCTACAAATCCTGAAAATTTCATAAGTTTATCCCTATGTTCACTATTTTTCTGAGAGTCTTGAAAATGTCTAAAAAATAGCCAAAAAATGGTCAATTTTTCAACTTGTTCCCATACATATACTCATGAAAATTGACGATTTTGGTGAAACTATTGTTATTAACTAATTAAAAGGTGTAGAATCAGAAAACATAGTCCATTTTGGCTTTATAAGTACGGTTTAGACGCAAGCGAGGTTTTAACAAGTATCAAAAATCGTCGAAAAACAAGGACTGAAAAAATTATTTTTTTCGCAAAACTAAAACACTTGAGCCCTGAACTGTTTATGTTTTCGAAAAGTAGATAAAATTTCCTACAAATCCTAAAATTTTCATAAGTTTATCCCTATGTTCACTATTTTTCTGAGAGTCTTGAAAATGTCTAAAACATAGCCAAAAAACGGTCAATTTTTCAACTTTTTTCCATACTAATGAAAATTGTCGATTTTGGTGAAATCGTAGATTTGATGAAACTATTGTTATTGACTAATTAAAAGGTGTACAATAAGAAAACATAGTCCATTTTGGCCTTACGAGTACAGTATTAGATACAGGTTAGGTTATAACTATCATAAAAATCGTCGAACAAGGGCTGAAAAAATCAAATTTTCCGCAAAATTGAAGCACTTACGCCCTGAACTGATAATGTTTTCGAAAAGTACATAAAATTTCCTACAAATCCTGAAATTTTCATAAGTTTATCTATATTTTTATCATTTTTTGTAAGCGCCTTGAAAATGTCCTAAAAATAGCCGAAAATCCATACATATATCATGAAAATTTACGTTTTTTGGTCAATTCGCCGATTTTAATAGAGAAATAGGAATATTAATTGATTCTTTCTTGTAGATTTGATGAAGAAGGTACTTCCTTGCATAACGTAGAGCCTGGGGGGCCCGGGGGTGGCCAAGAACCACCCCAGCAAAAACTTTTTGTAAATCCCTTAACTTCCGATCAATTTCCCGCGCTAGGTGGCGCTACAGTAGCCGGACCCAGCAACGTTTCTTTGGCATCGAAAAACTTCACAAAATTCAGTAGCGCAGCCTTTAACAGCAACGATTTTCCCTCTTTAGGTAGGTCAGGTACGTGTTGTCGCTATACAGAGTGTCCCAAATGTTTTTTAACGTAGGAAAAAGTCTTAAAATGTCAATTTTCTTCTAGGAGAACCGTCAAGTAGACCAACTTCAGCTGTGACGATAACAGCAAACTCCTCAGGCAATTCTACACCACAAGTGACAATAACTAGAACAGTAAAAAACCAGCAGAATCAAAAAGCGAAGGAGAATTTCCCTGCACTGGGTGGCTCAAGTAAACCGGGGAGCAGTACAGTGAGGTTAAGTGTAAAGTAAGTTTATAGTCCAGAGAAATAAGTAGTCTTAGATGAGTTCAGAAATATTTGTAATTATATAGCTACTAGAATAAAAAAAACTTGGGAACATCGTTTAAGGGCAAACCTAAAGTATGTACGAGGATGTATTTCAAGAAAATATTTTAACTTCTACAGGGTGGCTCAAAAAATGTGAGTGGATCGGGATGATTTTTTTTTAAATGGAACATCCTGTATATTATTGTATTTTTGGATTTTTTTTTGATCACTTTACATAATCTTAAGGTATGAGTAAATATATTTTGATAGTTTTAGAGATATTAGTAAATAAATAAAAAAATATTTTTTAACTTTCCTTAAAAAAATTATTACAGATACTAGAACTGTCCTGAAATGAAAACTATATTAGGTGTTTATTTTAGATGGTGTGTACTTACTTTGTTATAAATATAGTAATCGTAAATCATACAGGGTGTTCAAAATTCTTCGCCAAACTTAATAAAATATTAAATCAATTTTCTTTGTTTTTTTTTTAAATGGAACACCCTGTATATTATTTTTTTAATAGATGATGAAGTAAAAAATTAACATTTTTTGAGAAAAATTTATTTTGGGTGGTTTTGATAAAAATTGGTGGAAAATGCCATTTGAAATATAAAACCGCGTATATCTGCGAAACCGTTAAAAATTTTGAAATGCTCTAAATACAAAAAATGGTCATTGTTTAATTTTCCGTCTATTGAAAAATTAATATACAGGGTGTTCCATTTAAAAAAAAACGAAGAAAAATTATTTTATATTCTAGAAAGTATGACGTAGAATTTTGAACATCCTGTATGATTTATGATTAGCATATTTATAGCAAAGTAAACCAAACCAAGCCAAAAATGCTATAATATACAGGGTGTTTCGTTTAAAAAAAATAATCCCAGGCCACTCACACTTTTTTGAGCCATCCTATAGAAGCTAAAATATTTTCCTGAAATACAACCTAGTACATATTTTGGGCATGCGCTTATACAAATACAATACAATAAATAAAAGTACCGTATGATCGAGAAAAAACGGCGTCAGCGATGGCTATGGAATGAAGATCGCTGTCATTTTATATGTAAATTTATATGGGAAATGGCATTGTTCATTTCCCAGCCAACTGGACGCCGTTTTTTTTCGATCATACGGTACAATACTAGCACTTATTTAAGGGACGCCTCTGTGTCTACTTATATCTCTGTAATTTTTAGTTATACGAGTAATTTGATAATACCGTATGATCGAAAAAAAACGGCGTCATCGATGGCTATGAATGATGGGGAATGTCATTGATTTCGAAGCCAACTTGACGCCGTTTTTTTTCGATCATGCGGTATATATTTTCATTATATAATTACATAATTATTTCAGCAGCAACAACCAAAAACCCCCCAACGTCTCCATTCAAGTGAACGGCGGCTCCAACACGGTGATCACCACTCACATCACAACAAGCGCCCCGTCCGGATCACAAAGATCCGAAGTGTTCCCAGCCCTAGGCAAAGCACCCGTCTCCGTGTCCCAACCGAAATGGGTCCCGGCCAAACCCAAAAAACCCGAACCAGAACCCAAATCCGCTAGGGCAGCCCCTTGTCCTGTTTGGGAGACTTCCGACACCAATTCTTTTCCCAAACTGTCAAAAGGCAAGAACGAAAAACCGAAGAAATCCTCCAGTGTAACAGTTCCAGTGAGCAGCTGGGTGAATTTGAACAGTATGAAGAATACTCCGAGAAATAATGGTAATAGTAAAAAAGGGGAGAGTAGTAGTAGTGCTAGGGCTCAAGTAAATAATTCTTATTTGGATTTGAAGCTGGGAGAATTGAGGTTGGTCGATGATAAAGGGAAATCTGTAGAGGAGAGTAAGAAATCTAAGAAAAAGAAGGTTAAAAATGCTGGGAGGGTGATAGTAAAGTCCAGACTGACGTAAATGAGAATGAAGAACCGAAAAACAAGAACGGGCTCACTAAAAATCGTTCAGAACCAGAATTAGGGAACTCAACACCACCTGAAGAATTCCCTGCTTTAGGAACTACCAACCCTCCACCAGGTTTCGCAGATATACCACCGAAAAACACCATAAAACCGCCCCCAGGGTTCAATAACACCAACTTCCCTTCCCTAGGCATGACGTTTACTAACTCAACTGGTCAGAGTTACTCAATAAGTCCCAGTAACACAACCTCAAACTTTCGACAGCCGCGTAACTTTCAAAACCGAAACCAGAACTTGATAAAGCAGTTTATGGAGGTGTTGAATGACAATGAGGCGATCAGGGAGTTTAAAACTTTGTCAGATAAATTCAGGAAAGGGGACGTTAGCGCTAATACTTACCATGAACACTGTTTGAACCTGCTAGGTCCCAAATTTACCGAAGTTTTCCCAGAATTGCTTGTGCTGTTACCTGATATCGTTAAGCAACAAGAACTGTACAAAGTCATGGATAAAAACTCAAAAAGTCAGCTTGTCGTTTGCGAGAATTGCAAGCAAGTTATTTTTAAGAAAGAACTACACGATCACTATAATTACCATACGTTGGATAACCATTTTCCTACATTGGGAACCGCCCAGCAAATCGGTACAAGTGCCTGGGGTAAATGAACTACAAACATAACCTCAAAAAATTTTCGACGCTAGAAATGTCAGTTTGACATATTCAGTCAGTGTTTATAAACGTCAAATATCGGCTGTGGATTTTATAGAATGCCATCGCTAGAACATGATCTTCTTGTTTTTTTTTGCATTAAAATATAGTATTTATTTTATTATGTTCTTATTTTTTTCTTACGTTTGTTCATTTTCGTTTTGTTCGTGTTTTAGTTTAAATTTGTTTAAAGTAAGACATTCAATACGCTTGTATTATTTTTAAAACGACGTCATAGTAGGCTTAGGAGAAAAAAAGGTGATTTCTATGCCTACCGTGACGGTGTTTTTTTTTAAGTTTTATTTACGTAAAGTAAAGTGTATTTTTAACGCATAAAAATAGTCTTAGGATTATTTTTTCTTTGAAGGGTGAAAATAAAGTTTAGTTTTTTAACGTTTTTTGGTATTCAAGTTATGATGTTTATTATGTATTTCAATTTTATATAACAAACATGGAAAGTATATACAAAATTAGTATACTTAATATTATACTTGATAAAACAATTTTTTGCCTACACATATACGAGGTTTTTGAGCTGAAGAAATTAAAAAAAATGTAAATTTAATGTGTATATACATTATTTTTAGGTCCTATTGTTACATTTCCTAAATATTTTTTAAATAAAAAAGTATTTTCAAATAAAAAAACTGCGTTTTAGTCACAAAGAGTCTTTGAACCATAATGAAGTGAAAAAAATAGTTTTTTACGTGTAACAAATAGTTTTATATACCTAAAATAAAAAAAAAATAGTAAATAATTTCATTCACATTCACAAAATTTGTATTAAAATATCATTATTTTTGACCAACACGTGGACGTGGACTCACCACGTATTTTTTTTTCAGCTCGTGTGACACGGCTTTGAATTTTTACTCCCAGCGAGTCAAAAAGTTTCTAAAATTGACAGTTACTTGCTAGAAAAATTATTTTATGTCAAAATTAGTGGATTACAAGTCTATTAATAAGTATACTGCTGTTTGAGCACCCGTTTAAACATCCTGTGTTGGAAAAAAATCCACACATTGAACCATTTTTGAGAAAAATACATCCTATTTTGATTTTGGTCCACCCTGTATAGGGAGACACCAAATGTAAATGTACGAATGTTCTCGCATTCATACATTTACCATTTACATCCTGCATATTTAGAAAGAACAAACTAACTTATTTAAATATATTAGTCTTTTTTAATTCATTCATTGATTTAAATTTATTTTTCTTTTTAAAACAATCACACTGTATATTTACGTTTCTTGTCCAGCGAATCTAATCAATAATAGCCTCTCTCTTTCCAAATGCTCGCGAGAGACAAGGTCAGGCTCTACCAGACCGAGACAAATTAACTAATCGATGCAGCAGCGAGGTACGTTTGATCTATTTTGCCCAGTTTGTGGGAGACGTCCGTGCAGGAAGGATGTTTCGCGCTGTAGTTTAGTGAATTTTTCTTATAAAAGAAAAACATCAAAGAACTTTAAAATAGAACCGCAAAGAAATCGTTTTTCACGAAAAACCGCACGTTTTCATTTGTGACGGACCCGATTTTCGTTTATTTCCTTTGGCCTGCCTTGATGTGCGAGATGAAATTCAACTTCAATCAGTGAAATTCAGGTAAGAGAACGTTAGAAATAACTGTTTTGTGCCTCGAGATTTCATCAATATATTATATCGATGCAGGTTACGCTACATCTAACGCAATCTCTCTATTATTGGGTCATAAATTTCCTTATTTTTTCTCCTATTCATCTCGAGGCTACGCGAACAAAGAATTATTGATGTTAATCATCTTTCTCGGCAAGTGAATGGACCCAATAAAAACGCATCTGTGTACGAACGCAAGTTTCAAATATGTCCCATTTCTAAATTAAGCTCTAAATTGGAGTTTTTATTAAAAAAAACATCTGCCTTTGTTTGAGTTGAAGTGTGTGTAACAACACCCTTTCATGTTTGTCTATTGATTTTTCGCTGGATTTACTGTAAACAAATATGAATGAGGTAAAGAACCTTTTTTAACGTTCTTTTAAGTTTATTTTTACTTGCGTGAAAGGTTTAATTAAACAAAGTAGGCTGGGATTTTTGACAGGAAAGTGAAAAAAATAAATAAATCCTAGGAAATATTAATTCAAGTCACTTGACTGGCGTAAACGCGCCTTTACTTAAATGAAAAATTAATAATTAAACAAAGCAGTCTAGTGTGAATTAAATTTTGTTTGGACGAAAGTCATATACTGTCAATTTTTGACAGGAAAGTGATAAATTTGAAGCATTTTCCGAAAAAAATCTGAGAAATCTAGGTAGTTGAAATTGCTTAAAATGTCGATGAACACTTGGAAAAACGATAGATAAACATTAAATTTCTGGTTTATATGGGACCTTGGATTGGAAAGTGCGATATAAAATTTTTATTTTCCTCTCTGGTTGAAGTGAGGCTTGTTTTAACGACTTTTTGTTGAATGTTGTGTCGGTTTTTACGTGTAGAAAGGCGATCGGTTCAGCAGTGACTAATAATCTCAGTTATGTGCGTGTATAGTTTATAATAATAATAGTGATATTTCAAATCGACCGACTGGGTATTGCACCAATCCAAAGGTAAACACCAAGGTTCTTTTTTGCCTGACGCAAAAGAAAAAAAAATGGTTTAATTATTGTCAACCTTACCACCCACTTATGTAAGTATGTTAAAAAATGTTATTATTAATTTTTATAGAGGAATGATGTCTGTAGTTTTACTAGCAAGTTCATACTTGCAAATTTCTATATAATTTTTTGAGGCCCTTAATTATTTGAATTGTAGAACAGATATTTTACTAATTAATATACTTTATGAGACTATATTTCTTAAGATTTAATTACAAATGTATAGTTTTCAGATGTTTCGCTATACCTGTAGTATAGACGGTATTAATTGCCAAATTTAATTTTTCACTGTAGACCTAGATAGAATTCCTCTATTTTCACGTATTTCTCTGGGGATCTAACTTAGAACAAATGTTGCGAGCACTCTATTTTTAGACATTTATACCTGACCTCTGTAATTGACAAGACTTTAGATAAATTTTAGTCTAGACTAGGCTGTAATTCCATTAGTTACGCTATACGTATAGTGCATGCGGAAATGGTTGAAATATTTTTCGTTTCAATAATTATTTCCAAAAAAAAACAGTTTATTCTGACTAAAAAATGGGTTAAACCTGTATCATTTTATTTTTTTCGTTAAAATCGGGCCACCCTGTATATTAAATCGGATCTTTTTGCGTTTTTGGCGCGTACTTTTACAGGATGTGGTGTATGACTGCTTCCTATTGAAGCTCAGGGTCAGTGTAAACATTTGTATAGGCCATTGTTGTATGTATCTTCGTTAAAATTGCCAAAATTGTGGTATTATTCTTCGACAAAAAAACCGCCCGTATCATTTTTGTGAGGCGCCTTAATATACAGGATGTCCGAAAATTCCGTGGACATAGAACTAGAGTAGTCGCAAATCATTTTCCGGTGCACGTCATCAATCTTATCGACATTTACATTGAAGTCTATAAACCTGACTAAATGAAATTTTGGCAAACATGTTTAAATTTGTTGTATAATTTAGGATACCGAGCAGTTCTTCATTTTACTTTATAGAGCAATGATTGTAACAGATATTTTATTTAGATTAAAGCTGCAAAAATTAGTTTAAACCGAATTTTATTATCGCTATGTTGGTCACATTGCGCCGTGTTCAGCAATGTTGTCCTTTATTATTTGACAATTATCCTAATGTCAGTCATTATTTTGTATAATATCGTGTTGAATTTTTGTGAGCAATTCTCGTCTTTTTGACTATTTTCGTAGAATCTTTTTAAAAATTGCACAACGAAAAATAACTCAGTCGTTGGAAAAACATGTATATTTGTGTTACGTGTATTTTGAATTAAGGACCAACGGAATTCGTAACAGCACAGATTAGGTATACTCTATGTATACAGATAAAAATCTTATCCCTAATTCGTGGTACGAAAATTGTTTTTTATGACGATGTGCAAACGAGTCAAATTTCCTGTGCGCAAAAATAAACTCGCGTAAAATAACAATAAACAGCGTAATAGAGAGATATCGCTAAACCGAATAGCGTTCATGGACGTTAATAAGGTCAGGTGTTATTTCCTTTACGTGAGGTGGTATTAACTCTCTTCATTTATAGTTATCGGATCGGAAAGAATTCTGTTCGCGTGGCGTCCGCTATTTAAACTTAACCTAACTTTGAATTTAAAACTTTGAAATTGTTTTGTTTACTAGGTATTTTAAAACTAAAGGGCTAAAGTGCTTATTTCCAGTGCTTTATTGTTCAACGTCTGCCAGTGGGTTTAGGGCAACAAAAGCAACAAATTCCCTTAGAAGGGCTAAGTCGTCATCTGCTGTAAACCTAAGCCTCTTTATAGGTTCTTTAATATTGGAGGAGGTGGAATCCATATTTCGGGCCATATTTATTTAATTAAAACTAATCCCAGCTACTTAAATATCAAATTACCTAATAAAACTAAAGTAATAATTCAAAACAATTCAAACATAACCTAAAATAAAAGATCTCGCCGGCCGGCCCCGGTTCTCAAATACCCGCACATGCCCATTTAGGCAATTTTTAAACGTTATTTAGAAATAGCGCTTGGTGTAATTGATCCGCAAATTACGTCAGGCGGTAACGTTATTAGCGGGTGTTGCGTTAAAAATTGAGTCGCGCATATCGTAACCATGATAAGGTACGCGTAAATACTGCATGACGCTATTCGGTTTTCCGATATCTCTCTAATAACTGGTCCGGTCAGGCGCTGTGCACAATTTTAGAGGCCATGAGTGGGCGTGCTATGTGCGCAAACTAGTAACCCAACTAGTACCCGATTCCGAACATTGGAACCACGAAAAACTATAAAGAAAAAACAAAGTTTATAATCTGTATGATCTGTGGTAACAGTATGCGTCCACAGTATATTGGGACACCCTGTATTTGTTATATAAGGAAACACCCACGTGCTTTTTCAATGTGACAATCAGCAAGCTTGGTAAAAAAGTCTCTATGGCTGCTATATGGGACATATTAATTCCCCTTGTTAAATTTTAATGGCATGTCAACGAGTTTGAAGATATACAGAGATAGCAAAGTAAACATAATGACTACTAAAGTAAGTAAATATTATATTTCAAAATTTAATATTTTTTTGATATTGAATTTGAAAATGTATAATGACCGTTTTTACCCTTTGGGTACGGAACCCTAAAAATATAGTCTTTATAGGGAACCCTACTTTGTTAATATTGTTAACATTTATTTTAAAATTTTTGACACGCATTGTTTATTTTGTAGTGTTTTTATTTTGATGCATTGTACATAAAAATAAAAACAGTTTTATGGTTACCGATGTTTTGAACAGAAACGGGGTAAAGGCACTTAACTCAACCGTTATAATGACATTAATGGCGTAGCAAAACGGAAACTCGAGAGAACGACACGATAGGTCCGTGGCCAACATCGCGATAACACTTGTTCTAGGCTAAAAATAAAAAGGCCTACATCTACAGGGGTGTCCATTAGGGCGAGGCAGTCCAATATCGTCGCTGTTGATGTTGACAAAGATATGAAAAAAAGTTCTGTATTAATATTGCACGGTTTATAAAGGTGCATATAGTAAAAATAATTTTGCTTTATACAGGGACTCAATAAAAAGTAATGATAAAGTTTGTTTGATAATTGTAAAGATCGTTTGTTTTTATGGTTCCGTACCCAAAGGGTACAAACGGGAACCCTATTACTAAGACTTCGCTGTCCGTCCGTCCGTCCGTCTGTCACAAAGGTCTATCTTATGAACCGTTATAGCTAGACAGTTGAAATTTTTACTGTAGGAAGTAAAGCTTGTTAGAATTTTTAAAGGAACAAAACAAATAAAATTTTGACCGATTTTTGTTTTGATTTAGACCGCTACATCCTAGTTTTGATAAGAAGTGGATAGCGAACGTGCTTCTAGTACTACCAGAGTACCAGCGACAAAAAATGTCATGTCAATTCTTGGAATAGTAATTTAATTACAAGTTGGGTTTCATCGACCTCACGCAGATGCTATATTGTATGTATATTATGCATTTGAGCACATCAACGAGTTCTGTGTGTTTAGAGATGCATTTTAAATTAAAATTAACATGAATATTTTTTTTTATATATTATTATTATTATCATTTGTTTGATGCAAAAACTATAGATGTTTGCAATAAGTCATTTAAAGGACCAGTACTGCCAATTTTAATAATGCAATATGGGGAAAAACACAAGGAAAAGTAAACTATATTTCATATCAATCATTCATTGTTACCAACCATGGACATATTCGGCGCTGTTCCGACTAGAATGTAGAATGTTTAGGAGGAGAGTTAATCACCGCGACCTTATAGATCTATTGCGTGTTCCCCTTTCTTGAATTATAACGAGTTATAACTCATCATACAGTCTCAGGGCTTTAAGAAAAGCCAGTATCTGAGACGGCTCCACAGAGGCCAGCTCTCCATCCTCGACATCAGACGTACCAAAGTTCATGGCACGAATGGTCGTCGTCTCGGCTCACTCAGTGATAAGGTGTTCTGGTGTTTCTCCATTTTCCCCGCAGAATCTGCATTCGCCGTTGTTTCTCAGTTTCAGCCTACTGAGGTGTTCGTTGAGGAGACAGTGTCCTATTAGAAACCCCGTGACAATCCGAAGATTGTTTTTACTTAAATCAAGGAAAACCTTTGATTTTTCTCGGTCGTAAATTCTGAGGAACTATTTCGAGAGTCTTAGACCGTTGGAGAACATCCATTCCAAGTTAGGGATGGAGTCTTTCAGATTCTTCAGTTCCGCTTTCAGTTGGTTCCCGTTTGGAAAACAGAACGGTTCTGGTCCAGTTAGTGGAGTGTTCGCTCCTTTTCTAGCTAGATCATTTGCTTTTTCATTGCCTTCTATGCCTTGGTGAGCAGGCACCCAGAGTTGGAGGACTTTATTTTCTTTGCCTAATTTGTTGAGCTTTTCTAGGCATTCTTTGATCAACTTCGAATTGATGGTTACTGAGTGGATCGCGTTAAGTGCTGCTTGACTATCGGATAGGATGGCAATTTCCAGTTTTCGATAGTTCCTATCTAAGATAAATTGTACGCATCTTTCGATAGCGCAGATTTCTGCCTGAAGGATACTGGGGTAGGTGCCCATTGGTTCGGAGTATTCAGTGCGGCTATACGTGCCTCCCGGCGCCAATTTTTTTTATTTATATCGTTTGTGGTGACGAGAAAACTATAGATATTTGCAACAAGTCATTTAAAAGGGCTAATACTGAAAATTTTAATAATACAATATGGAAAAAACACAAGGGAAAGTAAACTATATTTCATATTAATTAAACTTTTAGTTAGGTAATCGAGGGCGCGATTTTTAAATTCATTGCTACCAACCATGGACATATTCGGCGCCGTGCCGACTAACTGGAATTTAAATTTCGCCCGGTAGATTCAGGTGGTAGCTCTGCTGTAAAAAATGTCGGTAATTATTGGGAAAACTGGAAATCGTCAGATTTTCACCAAAATTGGTATACACTCTATTTTGAGGTCGTAGATTACGAATCTGAACTTTTTTCTTGGCGGTCTCTTACCGTTTTTCAGAAAAACGGAAAATTATTTCAACATCGAATTTTTCTTAATTTCTCATATTTTTAAGGTTTTCTAGCACATATTTTGTTAGGTATTCAATAAACAATGATGTTATTGCTATTTTCTGTTACTTTTTTAACCAATTCTATGCATAATAGAGGAAAATTTGCTAAAATAAATTTGTAAACAATCTGAAAATGTTGGGTTATGTGTTTCTGGCATTTAAAGCAACGTTGCCAATGCTAAACCTAAATTTAGCGTATTTTTTTCGCTCATTCTGGGATTACGAAAGGCGGTCGCCAGAAGAACGGCTCCTTCACATAATTGCTATTTTGCCAACGAGATCTGACTATTTATAACCAAGAAGTTGCACGAAAGAGTTTTGATTGCATTGGTTACAACTTCCATACGGAGGGTGTTAATCTTTTGTTGTTATATTCTATCAAAAAAAGATTAACCCCCTCCGCAAAGAAGTTAAAACCAATGCAATCAAAACTCTTTCGTGCAACTTTGTGGTTATAAATAGTCTTTATATAACTTCTTTGCGGAGGGGTTAATCTTTTTTGATATAATATAACAAAAGATTAACAAACTCCACATGGAAGTTGTAACCAATGCAATCAAAACTCTTTCGTGCAACTTCGTGGTTATAAATATAATATAACAAAAAAAAAGATTAACCCCCTCCGCATAGAAGTTGAAACCAATGCAATCAAAACTCTTCCGCGTAACTTTGTGGATATAGGTGGATATATGTAATTATTGTCGATCTCATAATAGATAATTTATTTAAAATCCCTAATCACCCGAAAAAATAGAAGATATAGCAACGTTGTAAATTTTCAAATTTCTAGATTAGATCTAGAATATATTTGTCTCTCTCATTACGTAGGAGAGAGAAAGAAGGATATATCAAATGTCAAACTTCCGTCTGGTCACAATTTTCTTTGTTTTTTTGTTAAGAAAAGTGTTTTTCAGTAAAATTTTGGAGATTTTTCTATCCCCAATCAAGTGTGGCTTTTAGATAAACTATAATATAATGAAAATATAGTGAAATTATTAAAATATTTTCATTTAAAGAAAATATGTAAAAGTGGGCAACGCTGTGCCGGTCAGGCTTAATCACGTGACTAAAAGTTTATTTGGTATGAACTGTAGATGATTGTATAAGGGAACTAAATAAATTATTATAGAACGCTTTTTTTCAAAATGCGGCATGAAAAATAACCAAAATATCTTTCACAGAGGAAAAAAACTAATTATATCACCATTATACTGACTATCCATCTGTTAAAGAACAACTATTAGCTAATAAATTTTGTATTAAAACATTTTTGCTTGGTTATAAAACATAAAAAACACGTTCATATTTCTCTGAAAGTATTTGCTTATTTTAGAAATGTGATTAATATTATTTAATTTATCATTATTTGTAAATACCAGGTAAATTACCTAGAATACTCTCTAAACTCCAAACCTTTTTAGCATAAACGTTTTTTTCACTGGAATTTTATATATCTGGATTAAACGTTAAGCTTATAGGCCATTAATAGGTGTAATACATTTATTTGTCAAAAAACATGAATTGATATTAGTCACTAAGTCTTTTATTATTTTATTACACCTATGATTAATGAATATTAAAAGCTCAGGTGATATTTTTTTGTTTATGTTTTGAGCTTAATGTTTTGCTGGAATATCGTATGTAAACATACAGTGGTGGCCAAAAGTATGGAAACTTTTTTAACTTGTCATTTATGCTGAGAAATTAAAATATGAAATAAAACGACTTATATAATCGTGACCTACAAATAATTTCCTACAAAACCTAATACATTTAAATAACAAATTACAGCTATCAAAAAATATATAAAAAGTTATGAATATTTTCTTGGTCAAAAGTATGGAAACTTAAGAAGTCTGTTTATTAAAATTCATGATAATATAAAAATTACTAATATTTAGTGGAATATCCCTTTGAATTAATTACTTCTCTACATCTTCGTGGCATCGAATCGATCAATCTCGTCCAATCTTTACTGGAAATGGTCGCCCATTCAGTTTTTAGCACTTCCCATAATTCATTTTTATTTGAAATAGAATGGCTTCCAATTTTGCTATCCAAATGGTCCCATAAATTTTCTATGGGGTTAAGATCCGGAGACTGTGAGGGCCAATCCATTAGTGGAACATTATGTTCATTTAACCAATTTTGAACAAACCGAGATTTGTGCTTGGGATCATTGTCTTGCTGGAACAACCATCTGAGTGCATTTCTTCATCAGCATGAGGCAACATATTATTCTCCAATATGTCTTTGTACAAAAAACGGTCCATTATCCCATCAATTTTAACAAGAGGACCAACACCTGAGCGAGAAAAACACCCCCATACCATTATACTCCCACCCCCATGTTTTACTGTGGGCATCTGGTACTTATGGCTGTACCGTGTACCTTTTGGTCTTCGGACATAACGTCTCCCGTCACTACCAAACAGTTGAAACTTGCTTTCGTCGCTAAACAGTATAGTATTCTATTTCTGATAAGATCAGGTGAGATGATCTTGAGCAAATTTAAAGCGGGCCATCCTATTTTTCTTTGATATTAGTGGATTCTTCACCGCAACTCTTCCAAAAAGTCCCATGTCATCCAACCTTCTTCTCACCGTGCTTGCAGACACCGATATTCCCCTTTCACCCATTTCTCGAGAAATGTCTGTGGATGTTTTTCTTGGATCTCCCATTGATATTCTCTTCATTACTTTCATTGTCCTGTTGCACAACTTTCTTGGTCTTCCTGACTTAAAAGCTGTTGAAACGTTCCCTGTTTTATTAAATTTACGAATTATTTTCGAAACGGTGCTTCTTAAAATGTTTAAATTTTTACTTATTTGAATTTGTTTATAACCGCTCTTGTATAATTCAACTATTTTATTTTTTAAATCCGTAGAGAAATATTTAGACTTGGGCATGATGTTTATATTTATCTGAAGTAAGTCGTACCGTTTATCAGCTTAAACTAAATAATTTTAATGTATTTATTTATGGTTTCCATACTTTTGGCCACAAGAAATCTATTGTTCTCCTACAAAAACTGCTAAACAGATTTTTTTCGCTGTGTAATTTTTGGAATACTTTTATTTGCTGATAAGCTGTTCATTTATATTCCTGAGAGTTTAAGCATAGCAATATTTTCTGTGATATTTTAAAAAGTAAAAAGTTTCTATACTTTTGGCCACCACTGTACATAAAAAATACACACCGGCCAACTAAACGTCAAATTTAGTGTGCGCTGCTTTCTTTACGTCACAGTGGTTGTGGTAATCACTAAATTTGACTTTTATGCTATACACATTTTTATGACAGGTAGTTTTTTTCGTTCAAAAATTTTAAATATTTTTTCTCTCAAAAACGGTTAATGTTAGATATAGAGCATTTAATATGATAATTTAAATATGTAATACAAAATGGGGGTACCCATTTAAAATAAGCAAGTTACTGTCAACTTCCGGTATTTCCGGAAGTGCCGCCATATTGAAAATATTTTTAATCGATAGATCTCGTTGTAAAACAATGATGTGCAAAAAATCTCCGATCTAGATATTGTGGTTCCCTAGAAACTTCTAATGCACGCTCAGCCTGGGACACCCTGTATATTAGCAAAAAATAAAACTCTAGTTCACTACGATACACCGAAACACTTTACTTTTGGACTGGACGCGCGTTTCGCTAACCACGTTAGCATCATCAGCAGCTATATTAGCTAAAATATTAATTAGATATTGTTAGATAAAACAAATAAAACAAATATTTAGATAAATATTCGTTTGAATTGAATACACTGTATTTTTCTGAAATGATTTTCATATCAATTTTGAGTGTGAATTCCTGTGATTTTTATGTGATTCTTTTTTCTTTTTCAGGGTTTATCAGATGAAAAATTCGAATAATAAAGAAATAAAGGAAAGATAATGTTACTATCTAATCTGATCGATAAGCCCAGTACCAAAAGCACTGCTGTCGAATCGCAATCAAAATGAACGAATGCAGCGGATCGCTATAGTGAATTTCCTGTAAATTTTCGAGAAAAAACTCGTAATGGAGCCCGCAGACAAGAAAAAACGGTCCCTGGTGAACTTGTTCAGTTTCCTCACGACATGTTTGTTCCTGTTCTTGGCCGTTCAATTCTCAGATGGCGTATCAGGTGAGTAGAAGTTTTAAAGTATCATATGATCGAAAAAAAAACGGCGTCAAACACGGCTGGGGAATGACAGTAGATGATAATTTTGGAGAGGTCAAGCCCTAGACGTCATTTTTTTGCCCCGTACTCTTCGTGATTTTTTAACGGTGTTTACTGCCAGTTGGCCTGCCAGTTGGCCAAGAAGGTTGTAATTTATTTTTATACCAACGAAAAATAATTTTTAAACGGTGAAGACCTCGCCAAAATAATGATCGATTGTCGTTCCCAGCCGTCTTTGACGTCGTTTTTTTTATCATACTGTACAGGGTGGGCCACTCATATGGCATGTTGTGGTGTTGGAGACATATTTTTAATTACATTTGTATTGGCACAGGTGCTGTTAGCAACTTCGCCACGAAAATCAACAAGATCACTGACAGTTTGGACAAGGCAGTGCTGGGTCTCAGCACTGACGTAACTACACGGACTACAATGCCAAAACTGATTACCTCAGTGTCAACAATTCAGTTTTGAGACCAAAGGCATGGCGGGACTGTACAACATAACCACCCTGTTTATTAAGGCTGTCATGCCCAAGGACATTCTCATGCAAGGTAAGCATAGCACATATTTTTGAGAATAAAGTAGAAAATAATAAGGGTAAGAAAATGATCAGTTTTGAAACACCCTGTATAGATAAATAATACCAAATTAACTCAGGAATCATCCAACCATAGACTTGAAATAAAATATAGACTACATATATTTACATCTCAACGCAGTCAAACAATCTTTTTTGTACACATGTTTACTTCTGGGTACAGTCGACCGAGCCTTCCTCATCCAGCCTATGTTGTCACGTCTTTAATATTATCAATATTTTTTTTCTTATTATACACATATATTGAGATATTAATACTACATTTTTATAAAGTAGGTTTTAATATTCCATAGATGTATTAAATAGTCCTTATACTACTAAATTATAAGTCGGACACTATTTGAAAAGGATAAGTTCTTTGCAATATGGCAACACCGATTAGAGGCGAGGTCGCCTGTTCATTCTTTTATTACCTTGTAGTACGTGTCGCACGTGTGCGGTATAGCTTTGTTGCCGTTATCTCCCCGGTTGTATTAACGCATTTTCTTAGCTTGTAGTCCTTAAGTGTTTATTTTATTTACTTTTTCTGTTCAAGAACTATAAAATATGGTTCGCCAGTGCCAAATTTGCAAGAAATTTGACTTAAATAATTCATTTAAGTCTTGAAACGACTTTCGACCGGTAGGCAACTCTCAATTCCATTGGGAGTCAGTGGCGTTGTTGTAGAAAGGCGCGTATTTAGATAATATTTTAGTAAAATGTAAAATCTGATTTTTTTCTCTTACATAATCATTTATATAAAGGTCTTTGTAACAAAATCATAATTATAATCTTGTTAATAATTAATAATGTTTTTATTAAAAATATATTCCGGTTTATTCTAAAATTAATCTTCAGAATCTAAAATAACATACAAGAATTTTAAAATGATATTACATTATGAAACAATATTTTTAATATACCGGGTCGTGTCAAAAGTGGCTCATTTCTATAACTTTTTTATTTTTTCAGATAAAAAAACAGATTTGTATGTTAGTAGATATATGACATAAATTAGATTTATTGACGTATTCAATTGTTTTGGTCTCTTCCTGTTTCAGCGAAATGATTACATCTTTTTGATTTTTAAAGGCACCCTCGGTATATTGCTACTTTATTCGATAAAAATGACACTCAGAATAGAATGACATATCATATGTCAACTTTTGACATTGTCGCTTAAAAACAAATCGTATTTTAAATTTCAATCCAGGGTGTCATGGTGTTGTTAAAAACACTAAGTTTTAATCAAGGAGCCTTGGAAAAATAGTTTTGATCGTCTAATAGGTTTCGTGTCTTGTCTTGTCTACAAATCGTATTTTTAATCATACATATGTCGATTTTTTCAAATGGAACAAGGGTGACTCATTAGCATATTTGGAAAAAGCATTTTCTTATGAATATATTGATACCACACACTTGGTATTTCGAGCCAAATTGTCGTTATGAACCGCGTGTTACAATTACAATTAAACCATATGCGAAAATGTCAAAAGTTGACATATGATATGTCATTCTATTCAGAGTGTCATTTTCTATCGAATAAAGTAGAAATATACCGAGGGTGCCGTTTAAAAATTAAAAGTTATAGTCATTTCCGGTGACACAGGAAGTGACCAAAAACAATTGAATGCGTCAATCAATCCTAATTTATTTCATATACTAACATACTAAATCTTGTTTTTTTATTTGAAAATATAAAAAAATTATGGGGATGAGCCACTTTTGAGCCGCACCCGGTATAATAAAGACAGTACCGAGTTAAATAAATGTAGTTTTTATTTTATCCACTTCCTATCACCTTCCTTGCTTTAATGGAACAGATTTATGTTTTCTCTAATTTACATAATAAGACATCACTTAACTAGAAAAAAAATTACAACAATCATTTTTTTTTCTCTCCCTGTCGCCGATTCTATTATATCTGTGGAATAGATCCGGTTTTGATTAATATTAGGGGTTGTAAATGTTTGACTAAAATTAATAATTTATTATTAATTTCAAAAATTACGTAATTTCGATTATAAAATTTCTTCTATAACGTGTATTTTATTATGTTTATCCTTTTCGGACTCTAAGACGTTTTTTCTAAACTTTTATGTAAAAAACCTGTCCTAAATCTTAATAAAATATAAAAACGTTTAAATACGATATATTTTTAATTTACTTATAGCTTCATTAAAATAAAAAAATTACCCGGCTATGATACGGAGAGTTCAGGTGTACTTGAGAAACGAAAGACAGTGTTGTGTTTCTCGGCAGAGTGTCGGGGAACGACCGTTACGACAGAGACAACCTATCTATCGCTCGTGTCGCACTCGTTATAACCTAAAACAATAACACAACAATAACAAGACATTGTCTGACCGCATGTTCCAGCTATTTATGAATGAGATGCTCAGTCTATATTTTATTTTAAGTCTATGCGTCCAACTAAAAACGAATTGTACAGGGTGTCAAAAAAATAGTGTACCTATCTAACCATATTACCTACACAAATTTCGCGGTTCACCTCAAACATGCCTCAAATCCTCGGTTACCCTCGGCTACGACAGAGCTACGACAAGCTACTAACAAGCTACTAACAAGCTACGACAGCTACTAAAACTAGATCGGATTTTTTTCGATATTAAAAATTTAAATATTTATATTGACTCAACCAAACATTATACGCGTTAAAGGATACAAAACGCTAGGTTGTTTTATAATTTGAGGTTTTATAAACACCCAAACTGCCCAAACGGCGAACATTTTCCAGCGATATCACTGGTCACACTATAATGCGGTCAATACCCAATATAAACTATATCTATCGCACCTTAACCCATTATATTTTCTATACGTAGTATACCTTACCTTGTTGGTGGCACGAGCCGCGGCATTTGGAGTTTAATACGTGTAAAACATAGCGGGAACGAAGGGCAAAATGAAATTTTCACCGACACTAGAGAAAATGTGTCAAATAAAACGTTTTCAAGCGAAAATTGGACAAATTGAAGATTTTTGGGAATAGTTTTGAATATCTTAAGGATAAAAAAATGTGATTTACAAAAAGTATAATTTAAATAAGTTTTTCTCCTGATTTTTTTAGGGGGGCATTGACCTTTTGACCTTATGGTTAAGCAGCCACTGGTTCATAGAAACTTTTTGTTATATTTTCATCTGCAGAATCACCTACCGGAGTTAGATACACTATTTTTTGACACCCTGTATATTTTATAAACGAATATTAAAACAGTGAATCAGTGTACATAATCTTGTATATATTTGTATATGTAGGTATGTATAAATATCTAACTACCTAGTTTAAAAATAACTCTAATTATGACTAAATCTGATAACAGCTTTTAAGTACCTATTCAATTAACAACTTAAGATTAGTTCGTTAGTAACATGATATAAAACTAAAAAATTTGAAACCAATTGTTTATTAATTACGATTTATTGTATTGACTCAGTCTCAAACCAAACCAAAACAAAAAAGTTGATAAATTTTTGAATTAAAAATTAAGAATGTTTTTAGAAGCCTTAAAACATTTTTTAAAGCCTCTAAAAAGTTTTAAATTTTTTTTCGAAGACTTCTTATTTTTTTATTTTACAAAAAACTTTTTATTAAAAAAATTACACGATCAAAAATGCGTGTTGAAAGATAAAAATGTATCTATTAATTTTTTGTTAATGTTAAAATCTTTAGAATTGCGGACTTTTGGACAGCAACATTGCTTTAAACCGAGGCATCCTTAATTAAAACCCGTTAAAGTGAAAAAATAGATGTAGGAAAAACAATAAATACTCCTATAGTCTATAAAATGAATTTTTTTTTTTTTTTTTAAAAAAGTTATTTTTTCCCAAACATGCAGACAATATAAAATCCCTCTGTCAAAAAGTTAACACATTTTCAAACGAGTCTGAACGAATCAGATAGGCAACTCAATTATAAGTAGGTAATGCAGTTAGTGAATATACCGTACGATAGAAAAAAAAGGCGTGGGAGTGGGCTTGGAAATGAAGATCGCTGTCGTTTAATAGGTATGTAAAATTATATGATAAATCTTATCGATTGTCACTTCCAAATCAACATGACATGCATCTGTACATCATTAATCTCACGACTAGAGTTTCCTGAAATCCCGAACTCGCAGGATCCCGGCGGCGTGTATGTTTATCTCCGAAATCCCGATATTAAATTCCGGGATCCCGAAAATCCCATAAAATTTAAATGTCCAATCTAAAATGATTCGACTTTATACACCTTTCAAAGATCAACAAAACAAAGTAAAATTCATATTTAGTACAGTACGTCTGTCCGTTCTGTGGCTACGGGGTATCCGTGAGAGGGGAAACGATATTCTCTCGATGTTTTTCGTAAAAAATTAGACGACGCGTCCCATCAATAAAAAATCGACAAATTTGCAAGTAGCCAATAAAATGAGTGGGCGGAGCGGTTTGCGGTGACGTACTCGTCAAGTCGACGTATAAAATATATTGCTGTTTATTTAAATGTTTTTTGTCCGCATTCCTTTCATAGACACAGATCCAGCAGACGAACTATAAGTAAAAAAATGCAGTTTCAGACAATAGTTTGGTTTGGTTTGGTCGAGTTTTGTTAACACTGTCTAGTCTGGGCTTTTTTTATTTGATATATGTTAATCAAATAAAAAAGCCCAGACTAGATAAAATCAGGAGCTAACTAATAGAATCATATCAATTCTCTCTGATGTAGGATAAGTTTCTATTTTCGGAAAATTTCTTAGATTTTTTTTGTTTCAACTCTGACGAACTGACACAAAATGATAACTAGTTGCTAAAGTTGAACTAATTTGACAGCTATGTTGAAGTAACGTCAGACATATCACAGCCACCCTAGATTTTATCAAATAATAAAGATCTATTCACACTAAATCATAGAAATGAAAATATCTAGGAAAATGTTTGTTTCAGGGGTAGGCCGGCAACCTTAATAGTATTTTGAAGTGACATGAATTTTCCATTGAATATCGGAATAATATTCTGGGTAATTCAATTAAACTAAACGAGTTATACAGGGTGGGTATTAAAGGAGTTATACAGGTTATACCAATGTTCAGCATTAATTTTGCCTCACCCGTATAACTTTATGGGTCAGATTTTAATTTGATTTAAAGTGCAATAGGGTAAATTCCAATTTAGGTAGTTTTTCTTGAAATTTAAAAATTGTTCTTCATTTTTAGAAAATCTTAAGTAAGTCTAAAACCTTACATTTCAGTCATATACTTCCCTAATAAAACTCACTTTTATTTTTCTCTCAGAATCTAAAAATTAATTAATAAAGGGGGTATTCCAAACTTTTTTTGGGGACACCCTGTAGAACTCTCTATATTTTTAAAACGTGCTCAGAATTAACTTACATATGCTCACAAAATTTCATTTCAATACGAACTCGTCGTTCTCCTTGGAGCCTCTGAGTCGTATGAGAGGCGCCACCCTGTATAATTTTTATATTTTTTGTGGAATTTTGTACAGGTGGATTTTGGACATTCATCTCCTAAGGGAGTGAAATAAGGGATGAAAATTTGTACAAACATTTGTTAAAATCGGGTTTAGAAATATGAAATTCTGTTTGTTCCTTATGTAACGTAACTTAGCAATAACAAGCAATTTTTTTCAGAACGTCCATACCTCATTTCACCCCGTTAGAGGGCGAATTTCCAAAAATTGTTCCTTAGTGCTAAATTACGTTACATAAGGAACGTCTGCGCAAAATTTCATACTTCCAAAACCGATTTTAATGAATTTTTGTACAAATTTTCATCCCTTAATTCTTATGGGGCGAATGCCTAAAATTCGCTTCTGAGTACTCACTTTCATCACTTGAGGAACCTCTGTGCAAATTTTCATACTTCTAGGACAGATTTTTTTCAGAAAGTTCACCCCTCATTTCACCCCCTTAGAGGGAAAATTTCGAAAAATTGCTTCTTAGTGCTAAATTACCTTATATAAGGAACGTCTGCGAACAATTTTATACTTCTAAAACCGATTTTAACAAATTTTTATACCAATTTTCATCCCTATTTCTTATGGATGAATGTCAAAATTCGCTTCTGAGTACTCACTTTCGTCACTTAATTAACAATTTCCAAATTTCAAACTCTTCGGACTAATTTTAAAAAAATATGCAAAATTTCACTGGGGAGAAAAATTTCCTAAAATCGCTTTGAACTGTTAGGTTACGCTACTTAAGGCTCAATCAACCTCTGTGCAAAATTTCGTAGTCCTAGGACATGCTTTTTTGTATACAAAAGTACCCCTCATATCACCCCCTTAACGAGCGAATTTCCAAAAATTGCCCCTTAGTGTTCAATTACGTCAATCAAGGAGCACTCGTGAAAAATTTCATACTCTTCTTAAACCAGATTTTAACAAATTTTTATGCAGCCTTTCATCCCTAATTTCACCCCCTTAGCGGTCGAATTTTCAAAAAATCCCTTCTTAGTGCTCATTTACTTCACTTAAGGAACATATGTGTCAAATTTTATTTATTACTATATAGATAACCTTTACCCTTATCTTCAGCTAATGAATATTAAGAGACAAATAATAAAAATAAAATCTAAATTATAAATTTTATGGCTATAAATAGCATACATATGCATCTAGAAATTCTGACTTTCAAACATCCACTGCGACTAGTATTTTCATATCCAATTATCTAGTATTAAAGTCCGATATACATTTTCCCTGGGTTTGACCGGGAATTTGCTTATAAATGTGAACAACTTATTTTCAACCCATCTAAATCACGCGAGGATTTTTTTATTTGTTGAAAATATATTTCATTCTATACTGTAATTAAAAATGCTGATAGTGATCTACACAGTTCGGAATTACGCATGCAGTTCGCCTTGTATTTTGTCTGAAATTAATAATATATTGTTGAATATTTGGCAAAAAAAGCAGGTCTGTTTTATTAGCTAATATTTGATTTTCACAGTATATAATATATATAGTTACTGTCTGGGGGCATAAAATTCTTGACAGATTTAGAACAGACACTTTTTTAAATCAAATTTATTTTTTGAGATTATTAACAAAATATAGAGGGTGAGTCGACCATAGAATAACATCATCTAGTATACAAAAATCCTTAAATGATTGACTCACTGATTAATCACGATCCTGCTCAAACCACTCAAACGGAAGAAGCTCAATTTTGGCATACAGATTAACTCTAGGGTGTAGAGGTTCGATAAGAAGGGATTTTTCCAAATTCCAGTTCCAAGGGGGTGAAACCACCCCTCGAATATTACAATATTTTTTATTTTAAAAACGGCCAAGTTTCCGAAAAAACGCTTAAACACGTATATTTTATTTTGTCTTTTACATATTTTAAGATTTTTTAAAAATGTATACAGGGTGGTTCGAAAAATCTGGTCATTGATTAGTCACGATCCTGCTTAAAGCGCTTGACGTAAAAAGCTGATTTTTGGAAAACGGATTGACTTTAGGGTGTAGAGGTTCGAGAAGAAGGAATTTTTCGAAACTGGAATTCTAAGGGGGTAAAACCACCACTCAGATATTAGAAAACTTTTTATTTAAAAACGGGTGAGTTTTTCGGAAAAACTCTTAAACACGTATATTTTACAGGGTGTTCCAAAAAGTTGGGTAATTGATTAACCACGATTCTGCTCCAGTTTGTATGTTAATGGAAATTCTTGCTTTGCTTTATTATCACCATTACAAATGATTAATTCGACGCGAACGAAGTCGCAGGTACACGCTAGTTATCTCATATATGTTTCGAAAATATATGAGGCGTCAAATTTGGTTTTAGCAAAATTCATCTTATCCCAAAAACGATGTTTCGAGATAATATACAAAACCTGTTTTAGAAACTGTTATTTTATAAAAAAAAACGTGTCTATTTAGTGGAATCATTGTTTTGTATGTCGTTTTTCTGGAAATAAAAATTAATATTTCATTTTTAAAGAGATAGATTATAATTGCTTGTACTTTCAAGAGCTACTGTGACGACTTTTTTCTATTCTATGGTATTTACTAGATACCTTTTACAATTTTATTGATACAAAACTGAAAGAAAATTTATCTGAAACCAATTAAGAACAATTTAAAATGAATTGCAGATCGAAGTTGTTTACTTGGTTAGGTAAATTTTAGGGGTTTCCCCAGGTCTGTGCTGCTGTGATTCAACACGTTTCCTGTCTTATAAAAGAGTTAATATTTTGTCCAATCATTATAAAATTAATTACATAGATTAATATGGTTTCGGTAGGTATTCTGAGAATATGCTGTTTTGCACGTAAATTATAATATCTAGAGTATTTCTTATTGGTTAATCCAATCATACACTGATACGCAAAATATTAAATAGATATTTTTTTGTCTTGAAATATACATTATATATTTAAAAAAATGTTTAAATTATAAAGAAATGGTTTAAGTAGAATTCTTTACAAGGGCAAGACATAATAACCAATTTAATTTCAGTGAAATAAGTAAACGTAGAGGATAAAAGAAAAAAATCATAATCTAATATAATGTTATTTTAATAAATATATTATAATGTTAAAATAAGTTGAGTTTTATACCGGGTCAGTCTTAAATAAGTGTAAATATTTTCAGGGCTGGTAGATCTCGATAAAAGAAATATATTTTCTCTTTACCGTTTTTCAAATAAGTCTAATATATCCATGGGCGCCGGAAGAATGAAATTTAGGGGGGGCAAGGTAAAAATGAATAAAAAATTGACATTTTTGGTAATTATTGGGAAAACTGGAAATCGTCCGATTTTCACCAAAATTGGTATACACCCTATTTTGAAGTCGTAGATTACGAATCTGAACTTTTTTCTTGGCGGTCTC